TTTTTTAGTTGATCCTCACCCGAGGGTATTTTTCCATTGATTTTTAGACAGAGTGGGAGGGAGGGGGAGAGACAGAGAGAGAGAAACATCGATGTGAGAGAGACACATGGATTGGGCTGGGATTTGAGCCTGGAGGGGATGGAGCCTGCAACTGAGGTCCATGCCCTCGGGACCGGAATCGAACCCGGGACCTTTCAATCCTCAGGCTGACGTTCTATCCGCTGAGCCACACAGGCCAGGGAGTGACTTGCAGTTTTGATCAGAGCCTACACTTCTGGGGTGGAATCTCCCCCGGAAACGCCCTTCGGAGTGTGAGTCAGGAAGCCCGGGCCTCCCCACGTCACCCGAGAGAGCAGTGACAGGCCCACAGCACCGTCAGCACTCAGCAGAGGCTGGGCACAGCCCGAGGAGCAGGCTGGGGTGGGCCCCACTCTGTGAGCCTGAGGCCGAGGAGCAGGCTGGGGTGGGCCCCACTCTGTGAGCCTGAGGCCGAGGAGCAGGCTGGGGATGGGCTCCAGCCTCGCTTGGGCCCTGGCTGGCCTCTCGGCCTCTCATGCCAGCAGTGAGAGAAGAGGGGGTGGCCCTGCCCTCCTGGCCCACCTGAGCCTGGGGCCTTTGTGGTTCCCATTCTCGCTGTGAGAGCTGGAGAGGCTCCAGGCTCTGAGTCAGACCCTGGCTCTGTGGCCACATCCCTAGGAGGTGACTCAGGCCCAGACTCCGTTCTGAGGCCCCGCCCATGTCACACTCCCTTCTGTGGGCCCCGCGGGGTCTCCGTGACCTCTCAGCTGCCGGGCAGGGCCTTTCTCTGGAAGGAGGGAGCCTTGGTCCCCGACTGACAGGTGACAGCGGGGGGTGGGGCTGACCGGCTCATCCTTGGAGAGACTGATGCAAAGGCTCTAAATCCCATAGAGGCCCCGGCCGGTGTAGCTCAGCGGATAGAGTGTCGGCCAGCGGACTGAAGGGTCCCGGGTTCACTTCGGGTCAAGGGCATGTACTGCGGTTGCAGGCTCGATCCCTGGCCCTGGTCGGGGCACGTGTGGGAAGCGACCAATCAGTGTATCTCTCTCACATTGATGTGTCTCTCTCTCTCTCTCTCTCTCTCTCTCTCTCTCTCTCTCTCTCTCTCTGCCTCCCCCTTCCTTCCACTCTCTAGAAGTCCATGGGAAAATATCCTCGGGTGAGGATTAACAAGAACAACAGTAACAAAATCCTATGGAGATGTAAATTAGAAACCATAGGGACAACGGACAACGGCTTGGGTAGCACCAAGCATCACGCGCTGCGCCTGGAAGCCCAAATCAATGCTCCAAAACATATATTCACGTCCATGGAAGAGTCTCCTCTGTATATAGACTGAGAAGAGAACAGAAAACAAGTAAAAAAATCAAAACCAACCTCTCAGAGGAGGTAGATCCGCCAGCCAGTGTAATACCCCAGCTGCTCAGCCCCAAGCCCCGGCTGCATGCACAGGGGGCCCTGTCATCGGACGTTGGAAGCAGAGAAAATGTCAGGTTGAGACAGAAAAAGCCCCAACAACCCTCACAAAGGCACAGGCAGAGAAAAGGGAGCTGGGGAGAGACTGAGAAAGGACAGCCAGGAACTGAGAAAAAAAAACAGCAGAAGAGGGGTGTCCGGGAAGCAGAGGGGAGAAGGGATTTTAAGGGGGGAAGGCAGCATGCCCGGCCACCACAGGAGGCACAAGGCCAGAGCCGGGCACCCCGCTGGGCCAGGAAGGGGCGGCCATCAGGGAGGTGGCCGCTGCCGTGGGCAGCGTGCTGATGAGCGAGGGCAGCAAGCCCATCCCGCCCCCCTCGCTCTGCAAACCGCATTGCCCCGTATCCAGGGCAGAGGTGCCCAAACGCAGCCTGGCGTTCAGATTTCAGCTCCACTACCCGCTGGCTGGGTGACGCCAGGCGAGTCATTGAAATTCTCATGCCTCCTGGTTTGTAAATGTGGGAAAATGGCAAGACTTATCTCACAGAGTTTCTGTGAGGTTTAAATGACTGACTATGCGCAGAGCACTCAGAGTCTCCCCGGAAGCAACGGCTAACATGAAGTTAGACATGCCAGAGACTTGCCCGACCGGCCCATGTGGCTCAATGGTAGAGAGTCGACCCATGAACCAAGAGGTCACGGGATCAGTTCTGATGGAAGCCCATTCCCCAGGTTGTAGGCTGGATCCCCGGCAGGTGGGGGCGTGCAGGAGGCAGCCCATCGATGTTCCTCTCTCTCTCTCTTTCTCTCTCGTCCTTACTCTCTTTCTCAAATCAATAAAAACATTTTTAAAAAGTGCAAGAGACTTATCGGGGGTAACGCCTGTGAGAGATGAAGGGGAGAAGGAGCAGCGGACTTAGGGGAACCCTAAACCCCCTGGCAGGTCCAGCACCTGGGAAAAGAGAGAGAAGGAGAGACAAGGCTGATGGACATGATGGGCGGGGCTAACTGAGCTTCTCACTTCCCATCCATGGGGTGGGGAGCAGCACGCATCCCTCCCCGCGTTCCCTGGACAGGCCGTGTGAGAACGGAGGGCAGAGGGCGGGCTCCGGAAGCGCCTTTAGAGGGAAGGTGCCCGGGGCTGCGGATGACAGCATCACCGAGAGGCAGCACGGATTCCCACCCCTTGAGATTCCGCCAGGAGGAACCCTGAACCCTGCAGAATCCATAGTATCGCCCCATCTTAAGAGGCGAGAGAATTGATGTTTAGTATTTTTATTTTTTTTTAATATATTTTTTATTGATTTCAGAGAAGAAGGGATAGGGAGAGAGAGATAGAAACATCAATGATGAGAGAGAATCATGGATCAACTGCCTCCTGCACGCCCTCTATTGGGGATCGAGCCTGCAACCCAGGCATGTGCCCTTGACCGGAATTGAACCGGGGGACCCTTCAGTCTGCAGGCCGACACTCTATCCACTGAGCCAAACCGGCTAGGGCCGTGGTCGGCAAACTGCAGCTCACGAGCCACATGCGGCTCTTTGGCCCCTTGAGTGTGGCTCTTCCACAAAATACCACGTGCGGGCGCACATGTATAGTGTGATTGAAACTTCGTGGTCCATGCGCAGAAGTCGGTATTTTGTGGAAGAGCCAGTATTTTGTGGAAGAGCCACACTCAAGGGGCCAAAGAGCCGCATGTGGCTCGCGAGCCTTGGTTTGCTGAGCCGCAGTTTGCCGACCACTGGGCAATGGTTAATATTTTTAAAATGGCAAATGACCCTACAAACACAAGATATAACAGATTCCTGGCAACGTTATGGTTCGGGGAACCCTGCTATGAGCACCCCTCCCAGAGACGGTGTTGGGTGGGCTCTGCCACTTCAGCCGCTTGGCCAGGGCGGGTTGTAATGCCCTGAGCCCTGAGCCCTGCCTGGCTGGGGAGAGAAGGGATCAGGGGCCCAGGAAGCCATCTGGACTTTTTGAAGCTTGCTTTCTGGAGTTTTCCTCTCCTCCTCCTCCTCGCAGAGCCTCCCATCTTTTGCAACCCCAGGGACGGCTCATCCTGTCTCCTACTCAGCCCTCCCTTATCGCACAGGCCTGTCCCAGCCCACCCCCGCCCCAAGCTACAGCCACAGGAAGGCAGGAGCCGCTCCCAAAGGGAGAGATCTGTAAAACAAAGCCGTTCATTGTAACATTCTCTCTGAGTCCTTTGAATTCACATCTCAGACCTGAACGAGAGAGGAAAGAAAGGGCTGGTTTAGCCTCAGCCTCAGCCCCTGCCTTGCCCTTCGCCCTCCCGAGCCGGAAGACGGAGGGGCAGGACTGAGTCTAGGGCGGTGGGCCGGGCTTGCTCTGTCTGCCACCCTTTAGCTGCCTCTGTTTTCCCATCCATACAATGGGAAAGCAAGATTTCCCTTTCCCCGTACCTGCAGGTGGTGCCTGTGGCCACTCACACCATCCAGGGCCATGGCCCTCTCTCACACTCTCTCTCTCACACACACACACTCTCTCTCTCACACACTCTCTCTCTCTCACACTCTCTCTCACACACACACACACACACACACACACACACACACACTCTGCTGGCCCACGCCCAGCCCAGGCAGCTCTGGGTGATCCCAGCTGCTTCTGACTCACCCCCTGCCCTTGGGGCTGGGACTCACTCCTGGAAGGTTCCGGGTGATGGGTGAGGCCATGGAGAGTGTGTGTCTGCGCCCTGGTGTTCCCCCTGAGCCGCACTGTCTGGTCCTAACCTTAGCCTTAGCTCAAAAGGCCATGGACACCTCATTTTCTGTCGGCCCCTGGCCCTCTCATGTATGTGCGGGTTCCCCATGCATGTATGTGGCTAAATTAGGCTATTTGTCTTGCTAATCATGTCCATTTAATTATTAGACCAGTGGGAGAATATAGAAAGGTAGAGGAAACTTTCTCCCCCCCCCCCCCCCACACACACTTACACGAAAAAATTATTGGTGTTTATTTGAAATTCAAACTTAACTGGGAGAATGTATTTTTTATTTCCCAAACCTGTCACCCCTGAGATCAAACAGCTGGCCAGCAGCAGGGTAGCGTCTGATCATATATCCTCCCCTCGGCGGCGCCTTCAGCCCTTGCTCTGCCTGTGACTAGCTGTGTGGCCTCTCTGACGCGGTGGTTGCATCTGTAAAATGGGCGCAAGAGCAGCAGGACAACTCTCACCCGGCTGCTGCCGGAGGAGGGATTTAACGAGGTCCCCTCTGCATCGCCCCCCGGACAGCGGCGCGAAGTTGGGGCCCAACAGACGGCAGCCAGTGCCGTCTCCCCGACCTCACCCCCTGATCCACTGGCTCACGGCGGCTTCCTGCAGAGTCACCCCTTCCCGGCCTCCGGTTGGGCCGCTGTCCCCCCAGGAAGGAGGAAAGGGCCGGGCTGGGTGTGGTGTGCGCCCTGGTGCGTCCCCACCTTTTCCGCCCGGAGCGCCGGGGTCGGCGGCTGAGCTTCCCCGCGCGTCCGCAGGCGGCAGCACCGGCCCCGGTCCCGGCCGCGCTCCGGGCCGGCGGCGAGGCCACACCCCGCGGGGAGGCGGGCGGAGCGCTTCCCGGTGAATCATCGCCGGCAGCCGCAGTCCCGCTGCCCAGCTCCGGCCCGGCCGCGCCCCTGCCGCGCGCAGCACCGACACCGACTCCCCCGTGCGCCTCGATCGCGCGCAGCGGACACCATGGCGGGCATCGCGGCCAAGCTGGCCCGGGACCGGGAGGCGGCCGAGGGGCTGGGCTCGCACGAGAGGGCCGTCAAGTACCTCAACCAGGACTACGAGGCGCTGCGGGACGAGTGCCTGCAGGCCGGGGTGCTCTTCCAGGACCCCTCCTTCCCCGCCGTGCCGGCCGCCCTGGGCTTCAAGGAGCTGGGGCCCTACTCCAGCAAGACGCAGGGCATCGTGTGGAAGCGGCCCACGGTAGGAGCGGGAGCGCGGGCGGGCGGGCGGGGCGGGTGCGGGCCTGGCCTGGCGGCGGGTGCCCAGGCCCCGGCGGGGGTGGAGAGCGAGCCCGCACCGCCCGGGAGCCACCGCCCGCAGCCCCGCGGTGATCTGATCGCGCGCACCCCCGGGGGCTGCGGGCCCGTTACCCGGTGCGGGCGCAGGACGCTCCGGCGCCCCTCTAACTCGCACGCCTTGCGGGACACGGCTCTCAGTTCCCCACTAGCAGGCCCGCCAGGGGCGCCCCTAGGACGTCACCAAAACTGGGGAGGCAGGGGACCTGGGGACAACTTGTATGGGACCCCAGTGGGCAGATGGTGGGAGGGGGGTGGAGGGTCTGGAGGAAAGCAGATGGGAGACGACTCCTGCCCAGCAAGGTCTGTAGGTCTGTGGCCGGCGCTGCTGCCAGGGAGGGGTAGGGCCCCCATCCCCTGTGACTAAGGGCTGTCTCATCCGGCCCTGGTTGGGTTTAGCCAGAGTTTCTTGTTTATTTTAACAAAGGGGAGCCGGGAGGACCTGCCCTGCATTCACGCTGGTGGTAAACAAGTTACGGGACAGGCAGCCAAGAACCGGAATCCTGGCCCAGAATCCTCTCGGAAACCTCGGGGTCCCTCCAAGCCCCTTCGCTTGCTCCCCAGTGTCCCTGTCCTCTGCTCTGGCTGGCCTAGGGACAGCTGGCTCCCTAATCTAGCTTCCACCGTTACCTACAGACACCCTGCTGGCTCCACCTCCTGTGGGACCCAACCTTAGCACAGCTTCCTGCGAAACCCAACCTCTAGATTCCCGTTAGGAGACTAAGCATCCCCATCTTGTCTCCAGTGCTCTGAGCTCCCCCCAACTCCCCCACCCCCTTTACCTTCTCTGTGACCCTGGACCCCTGGCCCTGGACCCCCAGCGCATAGGACGTGCCCTAGGCACCCGGCCTGAGACATGCAACCTCTTTGCCTCCATTTCTTACAGTGGTTCTCAACCTTCCTAATATCCCGACCCTTCAATACAGTTCCTTGTGTTGTGGTGACCCCCAACCTTAAAATTATTTTCGTGGCTACTTCATCACTGTAATGTTGCTACTGTTATGAATCGTCATGTAAATATCTGATATGCAGGATGTATTTCATTGTTACAAATTGAACATCATGAAAGCATAGTGATTCATCACCAGAACAATATGTAATTATATGTGTGTTTTCCCTATGGTCTTAGGCAACCCCTGGGAAAGGGTCGTTCGACCCCCAAAGGGGTCGCGACCCACAGGTTGAGACCCGCTGAAGAGAAGCCGCCATGCCTGCACACTTTCCAGGCGCGGTGTCTCCGAGGCCCTGTTCCCTCCCGCCTTCCCACCTGCCAGGGACGCTCTCCCCTGGTTGTCTGGAGTCTGGCTCACTCCGATTCTTTGGGATGTCCTCAGATGTCCCCTCCCCGAAGTCATCTCTCCTGACCAGGCTTAGCAGCCCCAGCCCAGCATTATATTCTTTATCACAACCCTGCTCATTTCCTTCCCGGCACTTTTTACAATTTATAAATATAATCACCTGTATTTGCACTTTCTCTGCACTGCAGGGGACCCTGCGTAATATTCATCAATATGTCCTCAGTGCTGAGCAGGGTCACTTCCCTTCCACGGAATGCATTCATTCATTCATTCATTCATCTCACTCCTTCGGCGACATTTATTGAGAACCTATTAAACTGTCTTAAATGCTTGGGATACACCTGAGAATAAAAAGTCAGTGACGATTTGTGGCTGAGTGAATGAATGAATGAATGAATGATTGCAGGAATGTAACAAGCCTCAAATGCAGTTATGGTTGTGAGAGGGATAAACAAGAGACTGTATTCACCGTACCTGGGGACAGCACTTGACAGTTTACAAAGGGAATTTGCACACCCATTTGCTTATTCTTTCATTCATCCAGTAAGCATGTATCGAGCACCTATCTCCTATACACCTGGCACAGTGCAGATAGCGTCTGCCTCTAAATTATTGATAACTCTGTATGTAAACTATATGCACTGCCTTCTCACTAGGGGCCAGTGAAAGGAATCGTTGCAAATGCCCGTAGGACTCCTAGACGGGGAGACAGATCTGGGGCCATTGGTGGTGGGGCAGGCTGTGTACTGCACGACCCAGGGCAGTGTGGCTGGTATGTTCCCATCCAACGGGCGGAGAGAGCGAGACTTGGGAAGGTTAAGTGTTTGCTCAAGCAGGTGTCCGGGGTGGAGCCAGGACTGTGCCCGGCCTGTGGGCATTTGCAGCCCGCAGCCCACAGCCCACAGTGGCCCTCTCTGCCGCTGTCCTGCTGGGGTCAGGGTCAGGCCAGGGAAACAGACCTGTGTCCACCGGGTTGGGGCCTCAGCAAGTCATTGGTTACCTAACTGAGCACTGCGGTCGGACAGACTTCCAGCCGGGCAGATGTAGACTGTAGGGGGCGCCAGAGTAAGCCCCGAGAACGAAGGAGGGGTCTCCTGGTTGCAGATGGGTGCCCGTGGGAAGAGGAAGAGGTAGAGGGGCCGTGGGAAGGAGAGCTGGACCTGGGGTTCGAGAGGCTGTTGTTTTAGATGAGTGAACTGGACTGGGTTATGCGTTGAGTCACCGGAGCTCAGCCTCAAACCTGCATCTCCATCCTCCAAATTCAGTGATTGCCATCAACTTCTTCAGTAATAATAATAATAATAATAATAATAATTAACGTTTATAGAGTGTTCGCCAGGGCACGCTTACCTAATTATCTCCTCTAACTCTCATAACAACCCTAAGTGGTAGGTACGCCTGTCATCGCCGTGCCCATTTTGCAGATGAGGAAACTGAGGCTCAAAGAGTACCTTGCAGGGTCATAGACCCCATATAAGAAGTAGCCGAGCCAAGACTCAAACCCAGGGCGTCTGAGGCCCAAGCCCAAGCCCCCAGCCCCTTTCCTCGGACTGTTACGTCCACGTTCCACCCCATACCCTCCGGGCTGTGCGCACGGGTCAGTTTCCTGAAGCCTCTCTAAGCGCCGCTCTGAACTTTGTCTCCCTTGGAGAGGCTGCCAAGGACGATGTAGGCAAGTTGCAGAAACATAATGGAAAAATCCTCCTGGCATCAGAGCTTGGTGCCCGCAGGATTATCAATCCGATGCTTGGGCATCCGGTCCTTCCATCCCTGGCGTAAGTGCTCGGCTGGCAGGACCCGGGCAAAGCTGGCCTCGTTTTCCCACTGTCCCTGTCACCTGCCAAACAGACGCCCTGAGCAGGGAAGGGACAATGTGGTGGCACCACTGTGGCTCCAGGATGGACAGGGGCCGGATCCGGGTCTCGCCCAGGAAACAGTGCTTGCCAGAGAGGGGCTCCCTGAGGGAGGGTATGGGGTGGAGCCCCAACCAGGTGGCCCCGGGCTGGGTCGAGAAGCCCAGATCGATGCCCCACTTCCTCTGTGGCTTTGGGTGGGGCCCTGCAGAATCAGGAAGCACTGAGGGCTGCCTCCATGGAGGGCAGAGCGGCCCACGGTGGCTTCGCCCAGGCTGCTTGAGGGGCGATTCTGAGGCTTTAACAGCCTCAGAGGTTTGTCGCTAATCAATCAGCGGCAGCAGGGGAGCCGGGGTGTGCATTTTGCCCCAGGGAAGGTCACCTCTAGCCCCACGCTGCCTGGAACTGGTGAGCGGGGTCACCTTAGACGGGACACGCTGCTTAGCTCCCCAGCCTGTGTCCTCACCGGTGACGGGACATTTCCCATCTTGTGTTCCGAGCAGACCAGGAGATGCAGCGCCAGCACGGACTGACAACAGCCGGTCCACAATACAGGGTGCTCCAAGCACCACGGCCCCATAGACGGGACCAGAAAGCTGGACACGTTCCCGCGGCCTGCACACGTGTGTGCTAGGAACGCAGAGGGGTGCCCGTCAGCACCACCGGACAGAGCCCCGCTGACACCCGCATTGCAGAGTAGAAATACTCTGGGACTTAGAATCGAAGGGAGGAGTGAGGGCTGGGCTGGGAAGGAGGGCTTCATGGAGGAGGTGGCAATGAGTCTTGAAAAGTGGTCAGAGGTGGAAACGGGGAGGAGAGGATGGGGCAGGGAGGAATTCCACGCAAGTGAGACGACTGACGTGCAGGGACGGAGGAGAGGGGCTGGCACGGTGGGTCGGGCAGCTCCCAGGTGTGAGCGGGCCCACCGGCCTGCACAGGAGGGTGCCGTGCGGCCCTCGGCAGTTTGGAGCGCTGGGCAATGACTCCCCTTCTCAGCCGGGGTGTCTCCCACCACCCATCGGGCCCCGTGAAGCGGGGTCAGAAGAGGACCCCGTGGCCATCTGACTGCAGCCACGGGGAGAAGGGGTGCGATGCGCCCGCTGGGAACCGAGGCATCTGAACTGCAGAAGCGCGGGCCTGCTGGGCTGACGGCACTTTGTGGGTCTGTCTCGTCCCCAGGAGATCTGCGATGACCCCCAGTTTATTGTTGGAGGAGCCACCCGGACTGACATCTGCCAAGGAGCCCTGGGTAAGTGGCGGCCCCCAGAGCGGCCTTGGGGTCTCTTCTGCAAGTCTGGGGGGTGAGGGGTGTGGGGAGGGCTGGTCTTGGGCCTCTCTCCCTTCCCAAGCAGCTGGGCCATTTCCATTTCCAGATGCTTCCTGGGGTTTCTTGTCCCCCGAGGGCTTCGTGTTGAGGCCTCCTGTGTCCCCTGCACTGGGCTGGGTGTTGAGGTCACAGAGGGGCTTTTTGCCCCCCCCCACCCCCCCGTCCCCATGGTCTCTGCACCTCCTGGGACCAGTCCTACTCGTGGCCCATGAAACAGTCGGGCTCTGGGCCCAGGCCCGGGGGGAGGACTCCCCAGGCCAGTGACAGCGCTGAGCCCTCAGCTTCTCGGGGTGCAGGAACCGGGATGGTGACTCGGGGTGAAGGAAGAGGAAACCCCGATGACTGCTCACTGTTGGGAGGAAGTGAGCGTAGCCGGGTTCTCGGTATTTGCACGATGAGTTGCCCTGGCATCACAACAGTGCGAGGCAGCCTGACCGCAGCAAAGGCAGCGAGAATGTTCCTCTCGGTGGGTGAGACTCACGGGAGCTGAACCTCGAGGGTCGGAGGCGGCGCATAGAATCCGCCTCAATTTTTCTGACTCGTAATAAACGGGGCCCGAGGTCGCCGGAGCATCCTATTTACTCTGATAAACCGAAACCTTGCTTCCCGCCCTCACCTTCCCCTCACTGCTCACCCTAGTCCAGGGGTGGGGAACCTTCTTTCTGCCAAGGGCCATTTGGATATTTACTCATTTTATTTATTATTTTTTAAACAATTGTTAAAAATATATCTTATTGATTTTTTACAGAGAGGAAGGGAGAGGGATAGAGAGTTAGAAACATCGATGAGAGAGAAATATCCATTCAGCTGCCTCCTGCACAACCTCCTACTGGGGATGTGCCCGCAACCAAGGTACATGCCCTTGGCCGGAATCGAACCCGGGACCCTTCAGTCCGCAGGCCGACGCTCTATCCACTGAGCCAAACCGGTCAGGGCCCATTTGGATATTTATAACATCACTGTCGGGCCATACAAAATAATCAGCTTAAAAATTAACCTGCTATTTTGGGGCAAACATTTAATTAACTCACCCCTGATGCCTTGGCAGGGCCAGACCGAAGGATTCCGTGGGCCTTCTCTGGCCCGCGGGCCGGACGTTCCCCACCCCTGCACGACTAGTCCCTCAGTAACAACACTGATCATCTTGAATGGTACCTCCTTTCCGGGCCCCCCTAGAGGCTCTGATACTCAGAGTAATAACAGCCAATGTTTATTGAGTGTGTACTATGTGCCAGACACTGAGCTGCGAGGGCAGAACTCCAAGGAGGCGTGATTACAGCTGACCCTCGAACAGCACAGATTTAAACTTATACACAGATCTTTTCCAATAAATAGGTCCAGTACTATAAATGCATTTCCACTTCCTTTCGATTTTTTAGTAACATCTTATTTTCTCTAGCTTACTTTATTGTAAGCATCCAGTATATAATACACATAGCAGACAAAATATGTGTTCCTAGACTGTTTATGTTATCAGTAAACTATTAGCAGTTACGTTCTGGGGGGAGCCCAAGTTACTTATACACAGATTTTCAATGATGCAGGGGTCAGGGTCCCTAACCCCTGAGTTACTCGAGGGTCAGCTGTTTGCCCATTTTACAGATGAGGACACTGAGGCCCTGGGAGTAACTCGCTTAAGGTCCCCGCACAGCTGAGGTGGGCGCCGGGGATACAATGCAGACAGCCTGACGCCAGGCCTGTGTGTTTAACCCCGGGAGTTGGATTCCACAGGGCAGCTGTGTGAGTTATCGGGGTGGGCACCCTGGGGCCCCGGAGGTGGGAGGTGGGGGAGGGAATGCTTTCAAGGAGACCATGACCCGGGGTTGAGGGCTGGGCGGGCAGAACCAGCTGTCTGAGCTCAGCCTCTGGGCAGATTCCTGAGATGCCAGACACATTCCTACCTGAGAAAACACACATACCTCCACTTCCCGTCTTCCCACCGCACAGGCCATGGAAGCGGGGGTCCTTGGGCACCTAAGCTGGGGGCTGCTGGAAGGTCCACTCAACCAGGGACTCAGAGGCTAACGGGCTGGGAGCCGCTGCTGATTCGGACCAACCCAGAGGCCACACCGGGGCTAACTCACCGGGGGCTATCTCAGCTGCGCTAAATTCCACGCCTGGACGGAATAAACACCTACTTCACAGCGTTCTGACCTCTGAGCCAGTAACAAACAGAGGGCTGAAGTCCCGCGTCCATGCTGTCAGGCCGTTTGGAGAGGATTTGGAGAGCAGACAAGCAGAGCTTACATCCCTGGGTCAAATTCCCCAAGAGAGGCTCCAAGGCAGATAGGAAGCTGATTACATCAAGTCTTTTTGTAAAGCTCTTTTTTTTTTTTAAGCCTCACCCAAGGGTATGTGTGGGCTTTTAAAATTGATTATTTAGGGAGAGAGGAAGGGGGAAAGGAGAGAGGGAGAAGGACGGGGAGAGAGAGAGAAACCTCAATGGGTTGCCTTCCGTACACTCCCCAACCCGGGATGGAATCTGAAACCTAGGCATGTGCCCTGACCAGGAGCCAAACCTGCCACCCGGCCAGGGCGTGGCCTGGGTGTTTGGGATGATGCTCCAATCAGCCGAGCCGCCCGGCCAGGGCTTGGCCTTTTCCTACGAGATGGCATTGAAGCAGGAGAAAGTGACTTGTTCTCAAGCCACTCCTTGTGCCTGACACCGATCAGCACCTTGTGCCGGAGGGTCGGGGCACCTGAGTTCGTCTTTGCTCTCAGTACAGGTCACACACACCTGTCCCCTGCAGCCCAGCGCGCAGCTCGTAGCGTTTCTCACCGTGCTCGCTTGTGTAATCACCCCAACTCTGAGCATTCCCACCCCCCCACACAGATAAGCAGACTGAGGTGGGGGCAGGGGACACACGTAAGGCCACACAGCTAAAAACTGCCAGAATAAAGAACCCTGCTCTGATGTGACATCTTCCTGAGCTCTTTTCCTAACCCCCCACTCCCTCCCAGTTGCTGTGATGAGGGATGTGGAGGTGAAATTCTCAAAGCAAAATCCACTCACTCACCTGCACCTTCCACCTGGAGACCCGGTGCCCCCGGGGGCCTGGGCAGGGCTGCCCTCGGACTTGGTGGTCGCCCTGCCGGCCTTCCCAGCGCTGCCCGGCCATGGCCAGCCCCCAGCTCCCTCCCCCTTTCCCAGAAGGCCCGGAGCCTCACCCGATCATTCAAACCACGTGTGCAGAACTGCGCTGACCGTGAGCCGCCTGCACGCAGACCTGGGGGTCAGGGGGAGGGACAGCCGTCTGGAGGCGGCCGGAAACCCAGGCTGCCGCTGAAGGCGGCTCTGTAATCGGCTCTGTAATTGCTGGTGGCAACCTGTCCTTACAGGTGGTTGCCACTTGGAAGGACCCGGAGCCACAAAATTCAAAAGCTCAGCTCCTCCTGCCTGCCCTTCCCCTGGGCCCCTGCTGAGCTTTCTCACTGGCCGGCCCCTGGCCCCTGGGGCTCACAGCCCCAGGTCACTGTAACCTGGCAGATCTCAGAGGTGGGTCACCCCAACTCGACCCCCAAGAGTCACACGGCCCCCAGAACACCTACTGGGAAGAGGCTGGCCTCAGGGTGCCCCTGCCCACAGCCCAGCTCAGCGGAGGGTGGGAGAGGCAAGACCGATGGGCAAAGCCCACAGAAAGCGGGGCCTGAGGAAGTTTCCAGTTCCTGCTCCCTCCACCGCGTGCTTACGAGCCTGGGTGGCTTTGACAGGCTACCCAAGCCCTCTGGGCCTCAGTTTCCTCTTCTGTAAAATGGGAATGACAATACTCTGCCGGGGCTGGGTGAAAAGTGAGATTCGTATAGGCAAACCCGTAGAGTCCTCAACCAATTTAGGGGCCTCGATTACTACTGAGTTCAGCAACGTGCAAAGTCCCTTCGCCAAATCGTAGCAGAAGAGAGAGAGGATGGGAGGGAAGGGGAAAAGGAGATGAGCAGGTCTGCATCTCTAAAAACTCATCATGTCAGCAGGGAAGGGTCAGGAGTGGGGCGGCAAACCTGGGGCCTGTACGTGGGTAGCACTTGGGGGGAGGAGGAGGGACAAATATACGAGGAGACGAATGTGGAGGCGGCAGGTGCACACTCTTCGGTTTGCAGAATTGTGGGGTGCGGGCTCGATCCCCAGTGTGGGGCCTGCAGGAGGCAGCCGATCCATGATTCTCTCTCATCATGGATGTTTCCGTCTCTCTCTTCCTCTCCCTTCCTCTCTGAAATCAATAAGAATATATTAGAAAAAAAAAGGACTAGAAAAGTGTCGGCTGGTGTGAAGGAGAAAGTAAATGCATTTTTTTCTCTTAAAAGCAGTTGTCTCACCCCCCCCCCCCCCCCGCAGCCCCCCCTCCTCCCCTGTATCCTCCTCCCAGCGGCCCCTCCCAACTGGAGAGATTCCGGCCTCCATGAGTCATCACTTCCTCTGACTTTTCTGGCTGTCAGTGTTCTTTCGCAGACTTTCTCCCCTGGGGCTGCTTCAGGCTCTCCTTCCTGCTGCATCTAGTCCAGTGGTTCTCAACCCTCCTAATGCCGTGACCTTTTCATACAGTTCCTCATGTTGGGGTGACCCCCGATGTCATTGTTACAAATCGAACATCATTAAAGCATAGTGATTCATCACAAAAACAATATGTAATTATATGTGTGTTTTCCGATGGTCTTAGGCGACCCCTGTGAAAGGGTCGTTTGACCCCCCCCAAAGGGGTCGCGACCCACAGGTTGAGAACCCCTGATCTAGACAGTGTCCTAAACAGGGCAGGAGTGAACCTTGAACCCTAACGACCCCAGGCCCCTCTCCTGCCCCGGCTGCCCCAGGCTTGTCCGCCACCACAGCCCGGTTCCAGCCTCAGTCGGTCGGTCCCCTGTCTCTGAGCTGGGAGGGTTGGACCAGACCCTCCTAAGGCCCCACCACTGCTGACTCCTCTGACTCCAAAATCGTCCCCTTCCCCACCAGCAGCCCCCTCCCCCTGCTTACCCCCAAACGGGGCTTCAACTCACATTTGTGAGCTCAAGGGCCAAGGAACCTGCTCAGTCCATGTTGGTGCCCGCCTTTTGCCTTTTGCTGCCCAACCTCAGGGAGACGTTTTCCACGAAGTCAGGGAAATAGATGCCCTCCCGCTGGTCCCTCCAGGAGGTGAGGAAGGAGAATTTGGAGGAGGGGAAGGAGGAGGAGGAGGAGGAAGAAGAAGAGGGAGAAGGAATTTCACACCAGAGTCCAGGCCAGGGACATCCTCCTCTCCTGCGGGGTCTGTGAGGCCTGGGGCCAGGGGAGGAAGGGTGTGGGTTGGACAGCCTGGCAGGCAGGTGCTGTTAAAGCTCTGACCTCAGGCAGTGACTCTGGGGATCTCGGTCGGTTGGCTGCAGGGAAAGGGGCACAAAGATGAAACCTGCACCAGGTGGCTCCCTCCTGGCCCAGGGCCTGGCTGCGGACACGGACACGCCAGGCAGCTGCCTGGGGGCACCCCCTGCTGAGAGTCCGGAAGTTGCCGCCCAAGTTCATAGTGTGTGAGCCTTAGGCCTCTGCACCCTCCTCTCCCCTCTTCCCTCTGGCTTTCGGGGCCGGAAGGAAAAGGGGACCCGGGCATCTGTGAGCAGCCACAGAGGCTGAAGGCCTCCTGGGGCTGGGATGTCAGTGGGGCACCCCCTCCCTCCACAGCCGCTGATGTAAACGCGTCGTGATTTGCGTGGGGGGATTCCGGCTTGGGGTGCCCGTTCTGGGGCCGCTGCCAGGCGTGAAACATCTGCAGAAGGGACAGCCCCTGTGACTCATCAGCCGCCATCACACAGGCCTGGGCTCCTGGCAGGGCGGGTACTTCCTCTAGAGCAGTGGTTCTCAACCTTCCTGATGCCGCGACCCTTTCATACAGCTCCTCATGTTGTGGGGACCCCCAACCATAACATTATTTTCGTTGCTACTTCGTAACTGTCATTGTGCTACTGTTATGAATCGTCATGTAAATATCTGATATGCAGGATGTATTTTCATTGTTACAAATTGAACATCATGAAAGCATAGTGATGAGTCACAAAAACAATATGTCATTATACATGTGTTTTCCGATGGTCTTAGGCGACCCCTGTGAAAGGGTCGTTCGACCCCCAAAGGGGTCGCGACCCACAGGTTGAGAACCGCTGCTCTAGAGCCGGCCCTCCGCCAGCTTCCAGGGGTGGCCCTGGCTTGCAGGACTTCTGTCCCCTGCCTTCCAAAGCTGGGGCTCTGGTGGCCCAGGTGGCCTCCCTTCCTGGGGGGCAGGTGGTCCCAGCAGGCAGAGTGTCAGGTCTGCTGGCCACGGCGGACACCAGGGTCTCAGAAAGGGCCCAGCTCAGCCAGAAGCAGCATCCGTCTCTGGTCGGGCTGTCACTGACCCAGCTGTCCCCATGGCCCGCGAAGGAACAAGGCCCTAAGGGACAGGGCAGCAGATTCATCCCCCACGGCCATCCCACATTTTGATCTCTACAGTCCGAAAGGGCAAAGATGATATTTCAGCGCAGTTTTGCTTTATGTTTCTCTTACAATGAGTGAGGGTGAGCCCTTTAAAATGTGTGAGACATGGCCCTAGCTGGTCTGGCTCCATGGATAGAGTGTCCGCCTGGGGACTGAAGGGTCCCAGGTTCGATTTGGCCCAGGGCATTCGATCCCCATTTGGGGGCATGCAGGAGGCAGCCAATCAATGATTTTCTCTCATTGATGTTTCTATCTCTCTCCCTTACTCTCTAAAATCAATAAAGTATATTAAAAAAATAAAATGTGTGAGACAGCAACTTTTCCTTTCTTCCAGAACTTGGCTCTGTCTTTGCCCATTTTTCTACTGATCCCTCATTTTTTTTCTGTTTCTATAAAGTTTATAACTTTTGTTCTGGGATCTGAGTAACAGATATTTCTGAGTAACAGGTATTTTTCCATTATTTTCATAGTTTGACTTTGCTGATGGTAAGGTTTGCTTTACCGTGTCTTTTTTTTTTTTTTTTTACTTTGATGTAGTTAAATTCATCATTGGAGAATTCTGTGGCTTTCCAGGTTACAATTCGGTAGCTGAGCTCCACTCTGAGGTTATAATAGAATTCTCCACTGGTCTCTTCTGGAATGTTTATGGACTTAAGCAAATAATTACATTTATAATTTATTTACTTTGATGTAGTTAAATTCATCATTGGAGAATTCTGTGGCTTCCAGGTTACAATTCGGTAGCTGAGCTCCACCCTGAGGTTATAATAGAATTCTCCACTGGTCTCTTCTGGAATGTTTATGGACTTAAGCAAATAATTACATTTGTAATATCATCATAATGTAAATATAAATTAAAATATATGACATCAATACATAAATATGTAATAAATATGCAAGTAATACAAAAGTCTAGGTTTATCATACTTACGTGACTATAATAATATATTTAAGATTGATAATGTTAAATGTTTATAGATAAGTATTATCCCAGTTAGAATTTAGCCCTGTGACAAGATGAGCTATAACTCGATTGTTTTCTAAGTGGCTACTTGGCTGTTCCAATTCTATTTGTGAATCATCTATCTGTCCTAGTTCCTGCGTGTGGAGCTGTTTCCGGGCCTCTATTCTGTGCCGTTCACCTGTCTGTGTCCTTACGCACAAGTTCAGTGCTGTTTTAATCCCTCCCGCTTTGCATGTCTGAATATCTGACAGGCAGACTCCCTTGCCTTTGAGAATTTTTCTGGCTATGCTTTATGTTTAGTTTTCTCCTATTTATAAATGTCAGAATCAGCTGAGTTCCAATATTTTTTTTTTTTTAAAAATCCTCTTGCTATTTTTATTGGGATTGCATTAAATGTAGAGACTAACTCAAGAGGAAGTGGCGTTTTTACGATGGTGACTCTAGCCGAGGACATGGGCCACTTTTTCTTTCTTTCTTTCTTTCTTTATTTATTAAATATATTTTATTGATTTTTTACAGAGAGGAAGGGAGAAAGATAGTCAGAAACATCGATGAGAGAGAAACATTGATCAGCTGCCTCCTGCACATCTCCCACTGGGGATGTGCCCGCAACCCAGGTACATGCCCTTGACCGGAATCGAACCTGGGACCCTTCAGTCCGCAGGCTGATGCTCTATCCACTCAGCCACACCGGTCTCGGCATGGGCCACTTTTTAAGTCGGTAAATGACCTCCCAGAAGACGTACAGCCTTCGACGACTCCCCATCCCTCACGTCTCTTCCTCTCGCTCAAACTCACCTTTGGCCCCTGTGTTCTCAGAAGCCCCAGCTGCCCAGCGGGCTCCTCACCCCAGGCCCAGCTGGGTGGGGACAAGGCCTGCGACCGCACGGCTCTGGGTCTCAGAACCACCAATGACTGTCCCAACAAAACGCTCCCCCCAGCCCGGCCTCCGAGCCTCCCCAGCCCTCCTCCTGCCCGAGGCGTGGCTCGGTCACGCTCGGCCAGGGCTTCCAGGTGCAGAGGCGGACAAGATGCTGAACATCCCCGCACGCTGTGCCCACAGGTGACTGCTGGCTGTTGGCAGCCATCGCCTCCCTCACCTTGAACGAAGAAGTCTTGGCGCGAGTCGTCCCCTTAAACCAGAGCTTCCAGGAAAACTACGCCGGGATCTTCCACTTCCAGGTGACTTAGCAGTTGGTCCAAGCTTCTCCTCCACAGGGCCTGGGGGTGGGGGCAGGGGGCAGGGTCTGGGGGTGGGTGCAGGGCCTGGGGGTGGGAGCAGGTCCCCGGGGTGGCCGAGAGCTCAGTCCCCAGAGTTTGCATACACCTGTGAGCAGTGCAGTTTGCAAAGGACAGAGAAGCAGCAGAAAGCCCTGCCTGCTCCTGCCCCAGGGTCCTGTGAGGGTGGCCAGGGGGCCCTGGTTCAGGCAAAGAGGGAGGTAGACAGAACAGGTGCTCAGGGAGTAATTGAGGGGTTAAAGAGGTTATTATTTGGGGTTTGAACCCCAGTGTTAAGGAGCTGCTCAGTGCCCTTTTATGCTGGTCAATGAGAAATGTTCGTAAAAGCTGAAGGGGAGGACAGAGTGCTGGCGGGGTGTGGTTGGGGCGGGGGGGGGGGGGGGATCAGGGCCGCTGTCTCGGCCTCTTGGTGGGGACCTGCCGCCAGGAGGGGGTTTAGAAGGAAAGCTGCGCCAGGCAGCTCAGCTCAGCCAACCCTGGGGTCATCTTCCACCTCAGATGGTTTTGTAGGAGAAGTGGGGGGGACGGGACAGGTGCAGCTGAGGCTCTGTCTGGGTCCCCGTGCTGCCCCGGCTGCTCCAGCGACCCCTTCCCTCCCTGTGCCCAGTTCTGGCAGTACGGCGAGTGGGTGGAGGTGGTGGTGGACGACAGGCTGCCCACCAAGAACGGGGAGCTGCTGTTTGTGCACTCGGCAGAGGGCAGCGAGTTCTGGAGCGCGCTGCTGGAGAAGGCCTACGCCAAGTAAGTGCCGGCGGTCCCTGTGGCAGCGCCAACCCTCTCCCCCCCCCTCCCCCCAGCTGCCCTGGATTCGGGAAACAGCAGGAGCCATTCCCAGGCGATTTGAGAAACAGACGTATCCTATTGAAGGACTTCTTAGGCCCAAACCGGGCTCAGAATTCAAGGCGATCACGCATGCAGGGCCTGGCCTCCTGACGCAACTGCCCAGTGACCACTAGGCCATTGTCACCGCGGGCACAGGGACGGATCATGGCGCTGAGCGTGCCGACTGCTACGCCCTGGCAGGACACAGGGCATTTTTGCCAGCTGAACACAGCAGAGCGTTCTTGCCAATGGGCCAAACCATCCATTGCAGGGGTATGAACGGGAGGGAAGTTTGCCCGGGACATACCGTGTCTCTGATCAGAAACGGTTCCCATGCTCTTCCCAGCTGTGTCCCACCCCACCAGGCCCAAAGCCCAGGCGTCCAGGGTGCAACACCGCCCATTGCCGATGGGAAGGCCCACATCAGCCCCTCCCTCACCAGCCCCCCCAGAATGGCCTCGTCCTGGCCATGCGGCCTGGGCTCAGTCCATCAAAGTGACCGACTCTCAGGCGCCGGGGCCTGTTCTCACTGCCCCTGCCAGCGAGGGGGGCCGGGACCCACACACCTCGCTGTGAGAATCTAGCCCTGAGAGCCACTCTGCAGTCACATGCTCAGACAGTAGTTAGCAGAGCCCCAGGACGCCCAGACTCCCCGTGCACTGCCTGTGCTCCGGTCCGGGAAAGTGCCTTCGTTATTGAATTGTTGTTTTTCAAGCTACAAATGCCAAACAGCCAACTGGCAGACCTCCCCTCTCCTGTCGAGAGTAGGAAGGATCAATACGGGAGGTGGGACCACATAATCACCGGGGCCTTCCAGCTCTCAGCTGCTGTGAGGTTTTCCAAAAAAAAAACCCTTTCAAAGTACCAGGGAAACGGTAGCTGTGGAGACGGTAACTTGCCCTCATGGGCACCCCGAGTTAGAGGCAAGGCCAGAAGAATCTGAGCAGAGGGTCCCGGGAGCATCCAATGAAGGCCCCCAGGGGTTGCTAGGCAACAGCCAGGCTGCATCACCTCTTCCCCTCCCGTAGGATCAACGGGTGCTATGAAGCGCTCTCCGGGGGCGCCACCACCGAGGGCTTCGAGGACTTCACGGGAGGCATCGCCGAGTGGTACGAGCTGAAGAAGGCCCCGGCCAACCTGTTCAAGATCATTCAGAAGGCTCTGCAGAAAGGCTCTCTGCTGGGCTGCTCCATCGATGTAAGTGCGGGCCTCCCTGCCCCCACCCCCCCCCCCACCACCCATCCGCTCTGGTCCGGTCTGCTCTGGCTGGAGTGAGCCCCCAACAGCGCCCCAGGGAACCCACTGTCCCAGTGTGCAACTCTAGCCCAGCCCTGTCCACCTTGGCGAGCATCACCTGGAACCCAGGGGTTGCTAGGCAACAGTCAGTCACCCCCCCAGGCCACGCCCCTGCGTAGTGGGGCCCGCATCCGAGTCCCAGTGAGCGATGATGGGGGAGGGATGGGGGCAGGCAGGGTGCGCCCCGGCTGACACCCCCCGCCCCCCGCGTTCCCAGATCACCAGCATTGCGGACTCGGAGGCCATCACATACCAGAAGCTGGTGAAGGGGCACGCGTACTCCGTCACAGGAGCCGAGGAGGTAACGCCCGCGCTTTTCTGGGGGTTCGCTTCCTAACACAGTGGTTCTCCCCCTTCCTCCTGCCGCGACCCTTTCATACAGTTCCTCACGTTGTGGGGACCCCCAGCCATAAAATTATTTTCGTGGCTACTTCATCACTGTCATGTTGCTACTGTTATGAATCGTCATGTAAATATCTGAAATGCAGGATGTATTTTCATTGTTACAAATTGAACATCATGAAAGCATAGCGATTAATCACAAAAACAATAGGTAATTATATATGTGTTTCCCGATGGTCTTAGGCGACCCCTGTGAAAGGGTCGTTGGACCCCCCCCAAAGGGGTCGCGACCCACAGGTTGAGAACCGCTGCGTCTAACACAAAGGCAAAAGCACGCTTTGGGCTGTGACTGCCCAGGGCTGGGGGCGGGGTAGCGGGGGTGGGGGTGCTGAGTTCCCGCAGCTGTTTTCTGAATAGGCCTCGCATTCCTGAGGTCCAGGCAGGACTCGCTGGGCGTCCTGGCCGGTCCCTTCCAGAACCTCGGTCCCGGGTGCCGCCCTCTGCCGCCCTCTGCTGCCCGGTGCCGCCCTCTGCTGCCCCCTGCTGCCCGGTGCCGCCCTCTGCTGCCCCCTGCTGCCCGGTGCCGCCCTCTGCTGCCCTCTGCTGCCCGGTGCCGCCCTCTGCCGCCCTCTGCTGCCCCCTGCTGCCCGGTGCTGCCCTCTGCTGCCCCCTGCTGCCCGGTGCTGCCCTCTGCCGCCCCCTGCTGCCCGGTGCCGCCCTCTGCCGCCCTCTGCCGGCCGCAGGCTGCGAGCCCCGCGCTGGGATTTTACTTGGTTTAGAACCACCTTACTCTCAGGGGCCAGTTACAGGAAAGAAAGGAAAGAAAGGACACTTTCCTCCGCCTAGTGTTTCACGCCCTCTAATGGGCTTTCGCTCAGTGTGCAAACCTGGCGCTGCCTCTGGCCAGCTGTGTGGTCCCCGCGAGCCACTTAAAGGCTGCCCCTTGGGTTTCCTCCTCTTTAGATTAGAGAGAACAACCCCCACTGTAAGGTTGTCATGGTGATTCAGCCACTTACTGTGCATCACGTGCTCCGACGGTGCCTGAAACATTGTGTCGACGTGCGTAGCTGTACTTGCTGCTGTTATTATTATTATTATTATTATTATTATTGTTATTATTAAACATTCTTTCACTGTTAAACCCAGACCAGACCCCAGGTCTTTCCCGTATGCCCAGAGGTTTTCTCTTTACCTTGAATTTTTGTTTTATCCTCCCCACCGCCCCCGACACGTATCTTTTTATTTTGAAAATTTCGGGTCTGTAGAAAAGTTGAAAGAAAAAGTTGAAATTCAACCACAAAGGCGACTTCCCGAGATTTAAGCATTGCTAAGGCCCTGCCCCGTCTGGCTGGCTTCCCTGTGCGTGGGTCCTCTTTTCTGAGCCATTTGAACGTAACTCGAAGATGTTACGACACTTCAGTTCTCTGACATAAACAAACACTAAGAAAATAAACACTAGCCCTAACCGGTGTGGCTCAGTGGATAGAGCATCGGCCTGCGGACTGAAGGGTCCCAGGTTCGATTCCGGTCAAGGGCATGTACCTTGGTTGCGGGCACATCCCCGGTAGGGAGTGTGCAGGAGGCAGCTGATCGATGTTTCTCTCTCATCGATGTATCTAACTCTCTATCCCTCTCCCTTCCTCTCTGTAAAAAATCAATAAAATATATATTTAAAAAAATAATTAAAAAATAAACACTAACACAACAACATCTCCTATAGACTCCCTGTGTATGTCTCCCCCAAATATCCTTTATAGAGTGCCCCCCCCCCCATCCAGGATTCAGTCAACAGCCATGCACCGCATTGCTTACCATGCATCACCAGCTTCCCTGAGCTCCTAGGACACATGCATCCTATCACAGCCAGTTAACCTGAGGCTCAGAGGTCAAGTGTCAGCGCAGAGTCCAGAATGAGTGCGTGTGTGCCCCAGGCTCTCGGAGCGCGGGGTCCTGGGAGCTGTCACAGCTGGGCAGCAGGGGGGCACTGCCTTTTTGTGGATCCCGCACCCCCCTCCCACTCTGGCCCCTTATAACATGGACTCAACCCCCGGGGCTCAAGGAGGCAGCTTTGGGCCCGAGAACCCCCAGGCCTGGCTTGAACTCGACCCCTCCCTCCCTCCCCTGCTGCAGGTGGAAAGCCGAGGAAGCCTGGAGAAGCTGATCCGCATCCGGAACCCCTGGGGAGAGGTGGAGTGGACCGGGAAGTGGAATGACAAGTGAGGAGCGCAGCTGGGGCTGGGCGGTGCGTCCTGCTGGGAGGCTCTGGGGAAAGGAGGGGCATGAGCCCCGGGAGCACGGGCCACGCCGAGTGGGGTCCACGGGGCAGGTGGTCCCTCGAAGGCGCTTTCAACCAGCGCATCCCAGCCACCGGTGCCGTTATAAGGCCCAGGGCCCGTTGGTGCTCCTTCCTCTCACCCTCCCACGCTTCGCCCCTCCCTCTCTCAGGTTCTCCTGCTATTGGACCTTCAGGGGGAAAATACCCCTCTCTTCCCCCAAGCGCTTGTTTTGGTCCAAGGACGTAAACTTTGTGCCTAAGACCAGAGAGAAGCCTTTCCTTCCCGTGATTTCCGGGGCTCCCTGGTGGGGTTACACCTGCGGCTGGGTCCCAGGTGAGCCCCTCACGTGACCTCCCCCCTCCTCCGCCACCGCCCAGCACCTGCAGTTCTAACACCTGCTCCCTGGCCGCTCCCACGGGTCAGCCGTCAGATTGGCAGTGACCCCTTGAAATTGCTGCCAGTGCCCGGCCGGTGTGGCTCAGTGGCTGAGCGTCGACCTAGGAACCAGGAGGTCACGGTTCAATTCCGGTCAGGGCACATGCCCGGGTTGTGGGCTCCATCCCCAGTGTGGGGCGTGCAGGAGGCAGCCGATCACTAACTCTGTCTCATCATGGATGTTTCTCTCTCTCCCTCTCCCTTCAATGAATCACCTTGCTCCCTGCACGTCTCCGCCACCTCCCTCCCTTACTGGGGTCTGGGCCCTCGGAGGCCAGACAGCCCGTCCCTGGTCCTCGGTTTGGGGGAGCCTTGGGGTCGCCCTGTCTTAGTTTCTAACGCGTCTCCCGGGGCTCGGTTTCCCAGCTGCCCGAACTGGAACACCGTGGACCCAGAGGTGCGGGAAAGGCTGACCAGACGGCACGAAGACGGAGAATTCTGGTGAGGTGATCAGGGGCTTCGGGGAAAGAGGGGTCTGCCCCGCGATCTTTACTAGAAACTCAGTGAGATTATGTGGCGAGGGCCCCGGGCATGGGATGCGGGGTTTGTTGTTTTAAATCACGACAAGACCCTGAACACAAAAACTCTCAAAGCTTTTCTTCAATGTGTCCCTCTCCGCCGGGGGTTCAGAGCTGAGCAGGTCCACGGGGTCGTGTTCAGATCCCAAGAGAAAACGGGGCGTCATCCATCTCCTCAAGAAGCTGGCCCCTTGACCCTGGCTGGTTTTGTTGAGTCGTTAGAGCGTCAGCCAGGGACTGAAGGGTCTCAGGTTCAATTCTGGTCAAGGGCATGTACCGCCATTGCAGGCTGCATCCCGGGCCCTGGTCGGGGCGTGTGCGGGAGGCAACCAATCGATGTGTCTCTCTCACATCGATGTTTCTCTCTGAGTCTCTCCCCCTCCCTTCCACTTTCTCTAAATATCAATGAAAAAAAAAAAACCCAAGTGAGGATTGAAGGAAGGGAGGAAGGGAGGAAGGGAGGAAGGGAGGAAGGGAGGAAGGGAGGAAGGGAGGAAGGAAGGAAGGAAGGAAGGAAGGAAGGAAGGAAGGAAGGAAGGAAGGAAGGAAGGAAGGAAGGGAGGAAGGAAGGAAGAAGAAACTGGCCCCGTAGCTCAATAGACCTACACTCGTGTGTTTGTGTCTGTGCCACTCTGGCCACCTCCATCTGCAGACACCTTGCCATTTACCAAGCAAGTGCCCATGTGCTGTCTCGTTTCATTCTCCGGGTCTGGGAGCTCCCCCGGCTGCTGTGCCTGGCCCTGGTTAAGATGATGGGTATGCCCGCTTGTAACCCCGATGCCTGGGCCCCTGCTTTGCCAGGATGTCTTTCAGCGACTTCCTGAGGCAGTATTCCCGCCTGGAGATCTGCAACCTGACTCCCGACACGCTCACGGCCGACAGCTACAAGAAGTGGAAGCTCACCAAGATGGACGGGAACTGGAGGCGGGGCTCCACCGCGGGAGGCTGCCGGAACTACCCCAGTAAGGCCCCCCCTCACCCTCCCCGACGGGCACATCGCAGCCCGCAGGCCCCTGGTGGCAGCTCCGGCCCCTGGGACCCTCTGCCTTCCTTGTCCCTGCGTCTCCGTCGCGACACCCTTCCCTGTTTTCTCAGCCACATCACCTCCTGCACTCACCTGCCTCCTGCCCGGCTGGACCCAAGCCTGGCTGTTTCTGTGATGCCCTCGCCACGCCCCAGAGTCCCTGTGCCATGGCCTCCCTCCACACCCACCGAGACAGCGCTCAGTCCCATCTCGTGCCTGTGGGCCTCTTTAAAGATAAAGTGTTTTTATTGATTTAGAGAGAGAGGAAGGGAGAAGGAGAGAGATAGAAACATCAATGGGCTGCCTCCTGCACGCCCCCTACTGGGGATGGAGCCCACACCCTGGGCGTGTGCTCTGACCGGGAATCGAACCAGTGACCTCTTGGTGCAAGGGGCGATGCTTAACCACTGAGCCACACCGGCCGGGCCGGGGGCCTCTTTATCCACCAGCCCTGCTGGGAGCCTCATCTCCTGGGCATGTCCAGACCCTAGTTGTTGCCCAGCAACCCCAGCGCCCAGTTCACTCGGCTGATGCTGTGGGCCCCGCTCAGATGGGGTGAGGGCTGACTTCTCATCTGGTCCGCCCTCCGCCCGCCATCGGGTCTCCTGGCTCTCCTGCCTTGATGGCCCAGCCTCCTCTCCCCTGGCCCCTCCGAAAGGATCTAGTCATGATGGCGTCTGCCCCGTATGGCGCACAGCCGGGCGCTGGGAACCCCCTTTGTTCCACGTCCTCTTCACGGCCAGGTCTGGAGGCAGGGCCTCGAGGATCACCTGCATCTCTCAGATGAGGGCACCGAGGCCAGAGAGGTCACGTGACTTGCCCCAGGCCGCTCAGCTGGCTGGGATTTGAACCCGCCGCCTGGTGGTGGCATCAGTGCTTTGAGTACTCCGGTGGCAGGTCCTGGCCCCATACTGATGGCCTGTTACCAATGAGGAAACTGGGCTCCATGTGGCTCGCCTGGGCCCCAGAGCAAGGAGTCGGCCGGGGACCAGCTGGCCGGCACCTCTGGCTCTGGCTTCCAATCCTTCCCTCCGGGGTGCAGCCCCAGGTGGCAGCGACAGGGCCACCGGCAGGCCCTGGGCCCACTGGCTCAGAGACCACACTCTCTCCCGGTCCAGGCAGAAAATGCATTTAGCTTTGTGGGCCGTGCATTCGCTGTGGCCACTCCTCCCGTTACTGCTGTAGCCGGAGGGAGGCGGCCGTACGTACATGCATGGACATGGCTGTGCTCCAGTAACATTCATTTACAACCCTGCGGAGCCAGGCTTTGCCAAGTGCTGCCCTCGGGGACGCCTTCATTTCCACAATTAGTTTTATTCCGTTAGGTGAGGGAGGCGATTGGCACGGCTGTCCTTAAACATGAATGAATCTCAGGTCCCTCTAGAAATGGGTGTGGAGGTGGGGAGGGCAGACACCTGGGGAGGGGGGTGGGCAAGGGGACACAGAACAGGGGTGTTCCTGGCGCCTGGGTTCCCCGAAGGGGAGCGGGAGCTAGTCCCCGAGTCTCCTCAGCCAGGCCCACCCGTGACCTCTAATCGGAGCCGGGAGGGGGGGACCCTGAGAGGTGCCGCAGCTCTCACCACCCCGTTCCAGGTGAGAAAGCCGACCTCCTGGACGAGCCAGCCTGGGCGAGCGAGAGGGAACCGCAGGGAAGCTTCTAGCTGAGGTCCCGAAAGACTCAGACAGCCCCCCATCACCCGGGCTCCCCTGCCAGCTGCCCAACTAGTCCCACCTCCGTGCTGGTCCCTCTGCCCAGGGTCTGCCGCCGGCCCCGCCTCTCCCCCCTCTGTCCCCAGAGACAAGGGCAGAGCCCCCCACACACACACACCCCAGCCATGCACCTGCTCAGGGCTGGGCGCCCCGGCCTGACCTGCCCGCCCTCTGGCGCAGACACCTTCTGGATGAACCCGCAGTACCTCATCAAGCTGGAGGAGGAGGACGAGGACCAGGAGGACGGCGAGCGCGGCTGCACCTTCCTGGTGGGGCTCATCCAGAAGCACCGGCGGCGGCAGCGCAAGATGGGCGAGGACATGCACACCATCGGCTTCGGCATCTACGAGGTGCGTGGGGGGCGCTGCCGTCCGGCAGGTCCTCTCGCCTCCATGCTCCCTGCCCACCCCTTCCTCCTTCCTCCTTCGCTCCTCTCAGCCCCGTGGGAAGCCCCCCAGAACTGGAGAGGGGACCCCAGGCAGGGGGCGGGCCCAGGAGGAGCACGGGAAGTGCCTGCAGCGGCTCTGTGTCGCCCGAGGGTCCCAGCCCTTTCCAATGCCCTCCTGTCCCTCCTCACGTCCCCCTGGCCTGCTACTCAGGTTGCCCCCCCTCCCCCCAGTTTCTAAAAACAGAGGCGCTAGGCTGAGAACAGCATCCTGGGCCACGTGGGGAAGTACTGAGGGAGGAACCCAGACGGGGTGCGGCTGCTCGGGGCCAGCAGAGCCGTTGGATGGGGAGCAAGTGGTCCCCTGGGGCCTGCCCCCGCAGACACACCCACTGCCCCAATGTCCGCCCTGCTTTCCGCACCAGAGAGTCCAGCTCAGCCGCAGCCCAGGGCCAGCTCGGCACTGCCCCCTCTCCTCTCTGGGCGGGGGCGGGCGGGGACCCTGACTGACCCCACACGCTGGGCCCTGGCCACCCCTCCTCCCTCCTTTCTGCAGGGCAGACCAGCTTCTCACAGCCTCTGGCTGCAGAGGAAGGAATGGGGGGGGGAGGGAAGAGGGGGGCAGCTGAAGTGGGTGCAGGTAGGTGTGACGGTGGGACCCAGTGGTGTGCTGGGGTGGCTCCCGGAGGCCACATGTGCCCATCTCCCGGTCTCTCCCAGCCCCACATCTAGTGAGCCCACCTCAGCAGCCCGCAGACAGCCATGGTGGGCGGGGGTATTTACACCAGGGAAATGGGCAAATACTATAAATCAGAGCTCCCGCCCTCCCCAGGGGGAAAGCCTCCAGAAGAACCTGGGTGGTCAGTTGGTCCCATTTTAGAGATAAGAAAGCCGAGGCCAGAAAGGGGAAATGACTTGGCCAAGGAAGTACAGACGGGATGTGGCCGACAGATACCTCGAGCTGAGGCCGGCGGGCCCCTAGCCCAGGATGCACCCGCCTGGCTGGGCTGCTTGCTGGCTTCCTCCTGCCCGGGGCCCTGCACTCCCTGGTGGGAGGCGGGTGTGGCTTCGCTGTGGCCGACTGGGTGATCTTAGCCAAGTCACTGCAAAGCTCCGTGCCTCAGCTTCATGCTCCACAAAATGGGAATGGTGCTCATGGCTTGTCGATGTTATTGCTGGGGCATGAGGTTTTTTAAGTGTGGGATGGTTTGAGTAGGGTGAGCCGATGCAGTTACGACTGCTGAAGCTACAGAGGAAAGGGACTGCAAAGGCGGCAGTCCCCACAGTGGCGTGCCCGTGCACATCTGGGCGTCGGAATTAAGCGTGCGCTTCTCTGTCTTGCAGGTTCCGGAGGAGGTACGTCTGGCAGGCGTCAGCCCCCAGCCCTGGGGCTCAGGTTCGCCAACACGTGAACGGCTGAGACTGTCGGCTCGGGGGTCTTGTGACGGGTGGGCAGGGGCTGGTCCCTGGCCCCTCTAGGGCCCTGGCGAGTTGGCTCAGGCCGCCGTCCTGCTGATGTGAGCTCGGCATGGGGAACCTAGGCTGCCTGCCCCAGGCCGGCAGAGGCCAGGCGTGGCTGAGTTCTGGGTGGACGATCTCTGGTCCTGGGACCACAGGAGGCTCTTCCCAAGCCCTGTATGTTCTTAAAACGCGCCTGAAGGCCCAGCCGGTGTGGCTCAGTGGTTGGGTGCCGACCTATGAACCAGGAGGTCGCGGCTCAATTCCCGGTCAGGGCACATGCCCAAGTTGCGGGCTCCATCCCCAGTGGGGGGGCGTGCAGGAGGCAGCTGATGGATGGTTCTCTCTCATCATGGATGTCTCTATCCCTCTTCCTCTCCCTTCCTCTCTGAAATCAATAAAAAGATATTTTTTTAAAAAATGAGCCTGAAGGGAAAGGTGGACCCTGCAGTGAGAAGTCATAGACTTGGATCGGAAACCCAGCTTCCTGCCACGTGGACACTTAACGTGCCCAAGAGTCACTTCGGGGCGTGTGAGGTCCCTGGGAGGCCTCAGTGAGCTTTGTTACGTTTAAGGGAAAAGTTTGCTGTTTCCCTTAAACGAGGCCGACGTCGCCGCTGTTGTCCTCTCGTCGCGAGAGCGAGAGCGACATAGAGGTGGGGCCCGTCCCGCCCTCCACGCCCACTTGTTTCCGTTTGTCCATCAGTTGGCCGGACAGACCAACATCCACCTGAGCAAGAAGTTCTTCCTGACGACCCGGGCGCGGGAGCGGTCCGACACCTACATCAACCTGCGGGAGGTGCTCAACCGCTTCAAGCTGCCGCCGGGCGAGTACGTGGTGGTGCCGTCCACCTTCGAGCCCAACAAAGACGGGGACTTCTGCCTGAGGGTCTTCTCCGAGAAGAAAGCCGACTACCAGTAGGTCCTCTCGCCTCCTGGCTCCCTGCACCCCCTTCCTTCCTCCTGGCCCGTCGCCGGCCTGTCCCAGGCGGGGCTCCAGCCTCTCTGAGCGTCAGGGTCTTCTTCTGCGACACCCGCCTGCTTGGACGGGGTCGTGTGGGGTTGCTGGATCGAAGGACTTCAGTGTGAAACTCAGGGAAGCAGGGGAACCGGCCACGCGGAGGACGTCTGTTAGACACGGGTGGTTATGGAGCAAATTGCAGAATCCGATTTCGCAGAATCATCACATTGTTATTGTCAGTTTAACGGCCAATGTCAGACTAGCTGTGAACATGGTCCCATCATGTGGAGAAACCTGGGGAGCCTTGAGCCCCTCAACTCTCCTGCTGTCCAGGGTGAACGCCCCCGACTCCTGCACCATGGGACACAAAGGTGTCTGACTTCCTGGCCCCAGGATGTTCACTCTGATTCCAATCGCCAGCACCAAGAGGTCCCTTAGCCTCTCTTTGCGGCGGCGGCACTTCGGTTAGAACTCTCAGGGGCCTAGTGTAAGATCCAGGGGCCCGAGGAAGACGTCCCTGAGCCGAAGTGCCCTCACCCGGGAGCAGGACGGTGCCCGGGATACACTGACCATGGCTGTGCTCCCAGTAGGGTCACCCATGGGCTCCGCGCGGGAGCCAGCAGGCAGAGGCGTCTGTTGGGGGGTCTCAGCATGGAAGATCCACGGGGCCCAGGGTGTTTGGATGAAAAAAAAAGGCGATTCCCAAGGCCGGGGAGCGGGTTGTCTGAGTACCAGCTCCGTGGGGGGCGGGGGGCGGTGCTCTCTGATGACCACACCCAGCAAACAAACCAACAAACAATTCTCAGACTCTCCCAGCTGCTTGGCCGTCGCTCTTCCTCGGGGCATCTCTGCTAATAGGGGGCGGGCCAGGACCCAGGGGTGCGAGAGATCCGCCGGCCCGCCCCTCTCTGGACTTCACGTCCACCTGTCAGCTGTGGTTTCTGCAGCGCGTCCTCCGCCCCAAGCCCCTCCCAGTAACACGCAGCCTCCTTCTCTTTCCAGGGTGGTCGACGACGAGATCGAGGGTGACCTTGAAGAGGTACGTGGACCACCCCGGGAGCAGAGGGGCAGAAAGGAACCCCAGGGTTCGGGGGGGGAGTCCACAGCTGGAAACCAAGGCCTCCTTCAGCGCCAACCCCCCCCCCCCCACCCGCTGGGGCGAGTGAGGCCACATGTGCGTGGGGGGCTGTGCAGGACGGCCCGGTGCTGGGCTGATCTGTGTGAGATTCTCGCCACCGCCCTCTCTGGGCCACGCTTTCTCTATAAAATGAAAGTGATTCAGTGACAGGTCCCGAAGGGCTGGGACAGACGCACAGGCAAGGCTCCGTCCTTCCAAGTGCAAAGTCGAGGGAGGAAAACAACACAGAGTCGGTGCAGTTTCAAAGGGCCCCGCGGACTCTGCTCACCAGCCAGCGTCCGATCCTCTCGGAACAGGCCGGCCGGCCCTCCCGTCCGATCCCGTTAGAGCAGCTCACAAACGGCCACGCGGTCGGATGTCCGAGGAGCCGCCTATGCGAGACGTTAGCGTCTGTCTCAGTGACGGCGAACCTTTTGAGCTCGGCGTGTCAGCATTTTGAAAAACCCTAACTGAACTCTGGTGCCGTGTCACATAGAGAAATGTTTTGATATTTGCAACCATAGTAAAACAAAGACTTATATTTGTGATATTTATTTTATATATTTAAATGCCATTTAACAAAGAAAAATCAACCAAAAAAATGAGTTCGCGTGTCACCTCTGACACGCGTGCCATAGGTTTGCCATCACTGGTCTATCTCCTTCCTGCGTAGTTCCTGCTCCCGCTCATTATGTTTCCACTGGAAAAAAAAATGAAGTTTTTACACCATCCTTTATCTCAACCCCCGAAACCTCCCAGTCCAGGCGGGGAGTGAGGTCGAGAAGGGCCTGTGGTGGGGAGGGGAGCAGGCGCCTGCCCGTCACCTTGGGGGACCCGCTGTCCCTCATTTCCGTGTCTCACCTTCCAGCTCAATGTCAGCGAGGACGACATCGACGACGGGTTCAGGAGGCTGTTCGCCCAGCTGGCCGGGGAGGTAGGTGTCCCCAGACCTCTGTCGTGCTCTGGTTGATTCTCGTCCTCAAGGCGACTTCAGGTTCAAGGGGAGGGGAAGCCAAGCTGGCGTGGTTCCGTGGCTGGACGTCGACCTACGGACCCGTCTGATTCCCGGTCAGGGCACAGGCCCGGGTGGCAGGCTCGATCCCCGGTGTGGGGCGAGCAGGAGGCAGCCGATCCATGGTCTCTCTCATCGTGGATGTTTCTATCGCTCACTCCCTGTTCCTTCTTCTCTGAAATCAATACAAATATTTTTTAAAATAAGTCAGTAAAGAGGAGAGGAAACAGACTGAACCGAAGCCGGGCGGGAGGAATCGCAAATGGAACTCAGGTTCCATTCAGGTTCCTGCCCACGTCCCCCCGAGACCGCTGCCCGCCCCGGGCCCCTCAGCTCTGCCTCTGCTCCTCCTGCCTCGATCGCCCGGTGGCTCTTCTATTTCCTTTCTGTTCCACTCCAACCGAGACGTGGAACTCGGCCCCTCATCCTTGATTTCCACAAAGATAATTGGGGAGATGGACAATGCGAGCCACTCACAACGGGCATTGGACTTCCCTTTTCTTACAAAATCCCTCAGCCATGGGGGCCTCCGTTGGCTACAAAGTTCTTCAGCCCGTTTTCTTCCCACGACTCCAAGAAAAAGCCACCCTAGATATATTTTTAATATTAATTCTTTTAAAAATATATATATTTCTTATTTCTTTATTGATTTCAGAGAGGAAGGGAGAAGGAAAGAGAGATAGAAACATCAATGATGAGAGAATCACCGATCGGTTGCCTCCTGCACACCCCCCACTGGGGATGTGCCCGCAACCCAGGCATGTGCCCTTGGCCAGAATCGAACCTGGGACCCTTCAGTCCGCAGCTGGACGCTCTCCACTGAGCCAAGCCAGCCAGGGCGACCACCCTAGATCTTCATCAATGGGCTTGCCCCCAGTTACTCAGTGGAAGGGGGTGAGTGGAGACGCCTGAACCACTCCACGGAGCCCTGAGAAAGTGCTGGGCCCGCTCTGAGGGTCCGCGGGCCGGACCAGCTCACGGGGAGCCAGGGCCGAGGCTGAGAGGGCGAGGAAGGCGTGCTAAGGGGGAGGCGTGGGACCCAAGACCGCCAGCGCGGGAGGAGTGGAGAGTTGATTCTATTCCCCGTGTGGAGCGGCGATGACCACTGAGAGCCTGTGTTAGGTCTGGGGTTGGGCGCCACCACCCTCCCTCCCCCGCCAGCAGCTCCGGGGGCCTGTGAGAGGTGCACACGCAGAGACCAGCCCAGACCTGCCGCGTGCACGGCTCGCAGGGCTCGGCGGAGCGGGCGTCCAGGGCACGTGGATGGCCCCGTGTGCCACGCGGCTCCCGGGACCAATAACCATGCCCTCCTTGCATGCCCACAGGATGCGGAGATCTCGGCCTTCGAGCTGCAGACCATCCTGAGAAGAGTTCTCGCCAAGCGTAAGTCTCCCCTCCGTGCAAACCCCTCACCCGCCCCTTCCCCTGCGGCCGGCCTTGCCACACCTGGGCTGCTGTGCCTGCACCGTCACGCCCCCCTCCCAGTGGGTGCCACCCCCGAGGAGTGGAGGGGGGGGGGTCTACGTGACGTGATTCTCAAAACAACAAGGGTCCCGGGGCCTGGTGGTCACAGTCACTTCCCGGGTCCATGGCTCACTGGCTTTGGGACCTAAACCAGGTCATAGAACCTTCCGGACTCGATTCCTTACCTGCTGGACAGTCACGTTACTACTCACCTCTTAAATGAGTAACGCGTAGAGCAGGCATGTCAAACTCCAAGGCTGACACGGGCCAAACAAACACGGTCTAAGTGTCTGTGGGCCGCAAGAAAACAAAAGCTTCTGTTTTCATAGAAACGTAGGTTTATTTCGATAGAGACACGCTGAATACAAAGGGCTGAAATAAAGGAGTCATCGTTAACATAAAATAATAGAGCATTTTAATAACAGTTAATATTTTTTCTTGAACATTAACTTACCAGACACTGAATGACTGCACAAATTAATAAGCATAAGGCAAATAAGCCTATTTTTCCTGTTCTCCGAAAGCAAAATATTTCCTATTGCGCACACCAAACAAGTCAGTCCAAGATTAATGACATGGCCATCGGCTGCTAAAATATTCGCTGCCAGTGTTAGTGGAGAGAAATGGTGCGCCTGCGCGTAAGGCCGGTAAGGGAAGTGAATGCAACACGATTATAGTAATCAGTCATCAGTGAACGTTGTAGTTTGTTATTAATTATGTATAACAGGATATTGTAAAGATTAAGTTACAAAAGTTTTATTAAAACGTTTCTTACATACCGTTATATTGGCTGGGCCGCAAAAATATTTGTTGTGGGCCGAATGTGGCCCGCAGGCCGTGAGTTTGACATGCTTGGCCTAGAAACTGCCTAGCAGAAAGCCCGCACCCCAGACATGGTGGCTATTGTGGTGAGTCACTGGCAACAAAAGGCTGAGCGCCCGGACGACGGGAGCCGGGAAGCACCCCGAGTCCCTGCGTCCCCTGGCCGTCCTTAGTGGGAAATCACTGATGGAGAGGCATCGATCAATAATGAGGGAAGATGAAAAATAAATGGACCGTCTTATACTGAAACCAAGGGAATGACGTTAAAAAGCTGCATCTCCCAAACATGTGTGTCAGTGAGCCTAAGCCGGCCCGTTTCTCACCGGGAGAAATGTCCCTTCATTTGAGCCAGTGGCCAGGCAGGCGACGTCAAGGCCCCAGGCTTCCGCAGAGAAGGAGCAAACTGGACAGAGACCGGAGGGGCTGGAGGGCCAGGCTGCGCACAGCCAAAAGCAGGAAATAGGCAAGGACTGATGGTTCGCCTTGCCGCTGGTGGCCAGTACGGGGAGACACACACACACACACACACACACACACACACACACACACACACACACACACACACCGCACCGACCCCCCACAGTCAGGAATCCTTCTATAATTTTTCTATTATTGTAGGGATAGAAACATCAATGATGAGAACCATTGACTGGCTGCCTCCTGCACGCCCCACACTGGGGATCGAGCCTGCAGCCCAGGCATATGCCCCGACCGGGAATCGCACCGTGACCTCCTGGTTCCTAGGTTGACGCTCACCCCTGAGCCACACGGGGCTGCTATAACCTGACTCCCCCAGCTCTGTTTCTGCCCCTCAGATGGTCACAGGAGCCGAGGGCCTTTGGTAAGACAGCGGCCCAGGAGCAGGGTGTGAGTCAGAAGGGGGAAGCCTGGGTCAGACAGGGCGGGATGCTGCAGGCCTGAGCGTCAGCCCCGTGGGCGCCCCAGTCATCCCTAGACTAGCCCCGGAAACAAGCAGATCCTCCTCTTGGAGCCCAGAACCCAGGGCCAGCAGGGTCTCCGGAGATACTGGCTCCCGCCCTGTGGTCACCAGACCCATGGCTGTTAGAGCTCCGGGAGTCACAGCTCCCACCAGGAGGACGGGCCAGTCCCTCCCCCGCTCCAATCTGCAGGGAAAACAAGGCGGTGGTGTTTACCCCGCGGCCGCCAGGCACCGGTGAGGTCATAGGCTCTTCAGACGTGTGGCCGCAGACGTGTTGACTAAAGCCTCATTGTTTCCACACAGATGGAGGGTGGGGGTGGGAAACCAGGCCGCTTGGCCTCCTGCTCCAGCCTTCCCCGTGCCTCTGAGCTTGGGACCCCCCTCCCATCTGCCTGGTGACTCCTGGCTGCCCACGCCCCACACAGCCCCCTGTCCACGCTCCACACACAGCCCCCTGCTCACAGCCCGCACACAGCCCCCTGCCCACGCCCCACACACAGCCCCCTGTCCACGCCCCGCACACAGCCCCCTGCCCACGCCCCGCACACAGCCCCCTGCCCACCCCAAAAAGGGGTTGGGCCCAGACTGGCAGCTTTGAGACGGGTTAGGATCAGTGGTTCTCAACCCTCCTAATGCCACGACCCTTTAATACAGTTCCTCATGTTGTGGTGACCCCCCATTTCATTGTTACAAATTGAACATAATTAAAGCATAGTGATGAATCACAAAAACAATATGTAATTATAGATGTGTTTTCCGATGGTCTTAGGCGACCCCTGTGAAAGGGTCATTGGACCCCCAAAGGAGTTGTTTGACCCCCAGGTTGAGAACCGCTGGGTCAGGTTCTAACCTTAAAGAGGACATGCCAGCACCAAGGAGAGGGCACCCGCCTGGGAGAGAACAGCGTCCCAGGTGGCTTCTGGGCACAGGGAGGCTCGGAAAACGCCTGCGGCAGACGGTCCGAGTAAGCCCTCGGCCCAGCCCGGCCTCCACGAACTCACGTGCCCCCACTTTGCTTTTCCACGGGTGAGTCTGCACCAGGAGCACTTCAGGTCGCAGTCAGTCATCGTTGTTTTACTTATTTTAAAAGCACCTGTGGGCCTGGCCGGCTCAGGTCAGTGGATAGAGCGTCAGCCTGTGGACTAAAGGGTTGTGGTTTCGATTCCGGTCAAGGGCATGTACCTTGGTTGCAGGCTCCTCCCCGGCCTGGGCCCTGGGGCACATGCAGGAGGCAACCCATCGATGTGTGTCTCTCACATCGACGTTTCTCTCTGTCATTCCCTCTCCCTTCCACTCCCCCTAAAAACCAATGGACAAAGGTCCTCAGGTGAGGATAAACAACCGCCACAGGAAAAGCATGGTGGGAGCCCCCCTTGCCCACGGCAAGCACACAGAGCAGGCAGGCGCCTCTGCACTGTCCCCGGCCGAGCCAGTAGCCAGATGCGCCACTTCACATCTTCCCAGTGGCCACTGTATCCAGAGGTGCTGACCCAGGACCCTGCCACCGTGGTCCTGGAAAGTTCTCTCGCCAGCGCGGCTGCAGGAGGTTTTCCTGTCTCTCTTACCTTGTCTTCTAGGCCAAGATATCAAGTCGGATGGCTTCAGCCTGGAGACCTGCAAGATCATGGTTGACATGCTGGATGTATCCTTTCACGCGTCCCCGAGAACACGGGCCGGGGAGCTTGCCATGTCACCTGCAGAGAGAGAGCCAGGCAGGCTGCCCGCCAGGGAGGCCAGCTGCTGCGTGGGTGTAGGACTGTTGTCACGAGGGGACGTGTGGAACTTCAGGGGAGGGAAAGCCAGGCCCCAGGCTCAGAGGGCAATGGGCGCATTCCTGGGTCTGAGGCAGGACACTCCACGGTACGTCCACCATCCTCTGCCCCAAGCCCTTGGGTGTGTTTCCACCTCTTCCTCCAGGAAACACACTTGACCCCTGAACAGCGAGGGGCACTGGCCCCCCACATCATAGAAAATCCTCATGTAACTTTCAACTTCCTCAAAACTTAACTACTAATGGCCGCCTGCTGACTGGAAGTCTGACCAATACCATCAACAGCTGATGTACACATATTGTGTGCGATAGGCATCATATACCATACTAGAGGCCCGATGCACGAAATTCGTGCAAGAGTAGGCCTTCCTTCCCCCGGCTGCCGGCACCGGCTTCCCTCTGGCACCCGGGACCCGGGCTTCCCTTGCAGCCCCGGCTTTGTGCGGAAGGTCGTCTGGAAGGATGTCGGTCTAATTAGCATCTTACGCTTTTATTATTATAGATTCTTACTCTAAAGTAGGCTGCAGGAAATGTTATTAAAATCATAAGAGAAAATACACTTACAATACTGGGCACATTTACTGAACAACATCCGCATAGGAGCGGGCCTGCCCAGGTCCGGTCTGTGTTGTTGAGGGTCACCTGTATTCCCTCGGCCATGGTATCTCTGACGCGCATGTGTCCTCTGGCCACGATGCTGTCGATGGTGGAGACGGAACCCAACCTCCGCGAGCATCTCCTCACCCTTTGCTCTCGCTCACGCCTTCCCAGGCCCCCCGCCTGCCCCCGGGGCCGACGCATCATCCGTTTCCACCTTGTTCCTGATGCCCCTGATAAGTGCTGGGCGGGGATGGTCCAAGCTTCTAAGAGGTTCTGTCTCATGGGCTCCCAGCACCCGCGGTGTAGCTCCCCCCGAAAAAGGCCTCTTAGAAATGTGCCCAAGAATACCCCCCGAATCGGCAAGCCACTAGAAGCCACCGGAAGCCCCCTGCATGTCATCCGACAGCTCCTTTTGGGCAGGATCTGGGGTCCCTATGGCACCCCCAGATCAGTCAGCAAGCGGGGCGCAGGGAGCCAGGAGGTGTCTCTCCGGCCCTCCCACCCCGCGGGCGGGGTCCGCCAGAGCTCCTGTGGTCCCAGAGTGTCCAGTGTCTCCTTAACTGAAGGCAGTCCGACGGCAGCGGCAAGCTGGGCCTGAAGGAGTTCTACGTTCTCTGGACGAAGATTCAAAAGTACCAAGTGAGCGCGGGAGGGCCGCCGGCAGGGCCGGGGTTGTGTCGGGACGCGCTGCGCTCGGGCCTGTGGACACAGCGGCCCGGCGGGAGGGGCAGGGGCACCTCCCAGGGCATGAGCTCAGGATGCGTGAAGGCAGGCCAGCAAATGCCCAGAGCGCAAGGCCAGGGCTTTGCGGGCTCAGTGGTCTGCTTCCCGCCTTTAGCTCGCGGATCAGAAACTGGGTCTTCTAGAAACCGCCCCCCAAAGGCTGTGTGGCCTCTTGTGCTTGGGAATTCTAACGGCCCCAGAATACAAATACGTAAGACAGGAACACGGGCCCCCAGTAGTTGGCTGCCTGGATGTGCGGGTTTACAAACCGGCTCACACAGAGGCAAAATACCATCAGCTACTGGCAGCAGGAACGGCGATTCTACCGACGGGAGGGTGGGGGGCGCGGAGCTGGGAAACCTGCCCCCTGGGCACCGAGGGGCCTGTGCCTGCCCTACCCTGGGGCAGGTTCTCATAACCGTCTTGCACCTGCCATTCCAGAAAATTTACCGGGAAATCGACGTGGACAGGTCTGGCACCATGAACTCCTATGAGATGCGGAAAGCCTTAGAAGAAGCAGGTGAGACTTGATGATGGCGCTTCCTTTTGCCTCGTTGGTGGCGTGTGTGACGCACATGATACAACATGCAGATTGGTGAGCAGTGAGATAAAGCAGGTGCCATTTAGTACAATCCCATCCCTTTCATCCCCCGTGAAGGCCGATGGGTAAAACCAAACGAGGCCCAGATGCTCTGCCCACGAGGCCGCCTTGCGTTTAATCTCCTTCTCAGAAGCCTGGTGGGTCCAGCCGGCAAGGCCAGCTCTCGGCCGCGCCCCCAGTTCCCCCTTTGGGGTACAGGGCTGGTGAGGCACACATGGGGCGTCTCCGCGCCTCTTAGGGGAAGTTCCTGGCAGAGTGGGACACGGATAAAAGGGGCACAAGCTTGTGGGAGACGGGAGTGTTTGGGGGGACAGGTAGGACCATGTGAGAGGGTTCACTGTATTAGCAAAGACCCCCAAATCGCTGGCTTAAACGAGATGCATCATTTTCTCACTTAACCCCCCCCAAGCTGAAGAAGTTCAAGGCCGGGAGGGTGCCCTCGGATGTTAGGGACCCACTGCTCTGTCACCAGCCCTTAGCATGTGGCCATGGGCCCAGGGTGGCCTGCCGTCACACCCCCATCCCGGCAACGGGCTGACAGAGGGAAAGACACACAGGTCACTGCAAACGCGTCCCACGGCCGGAACGTGGTCACCAGACCCCAGAGGGCTGCAAGGGATGCTGGGAAGTGTGACCTTGATCCCAGGCAGCCAGGACCCCTGAACAGATCTATTCCTGGAGGGAAATCATATTCGTTTACCAAGAGCAGCTTCTGCCACATGCACCCAGGCAGAACCTAGTCACCAAGATGACGCAGCGCTGAACAAACAGGAGAGGCAGTGGCTCACCCCCTGGAACAGTGTGAGCGTGGAAGTGGGAACAGACAGGACAAGTCCTCCCTGTTGGATAGTGAGGAGCCAGGCAGGGTGCAGGGGGACAGTCTGGAAATGACGGTGAAAGGCCCTGGCTCTGCAAAACCAACCCGGCCTCCTCGACGAGCGGCCAGGGGACAGAAGCGATCGTAGTTGCCATTTAAAGGGCCACATCCGTTCCGCAACCTGTGTTCAGAGCTCGGGGTGCGGTCCCGTCCTGAGCCAGCGTCTGCTCGTCCTCTCCCCTCAGGTTTCAAGCTGCCCTGCCAGCTCCACCAGGTCATCGTGGCTCGCTTCGCTGATGACGACCTCATCATCGACTTCGATAACTTTGTCCGCTGCTTGATTCGCCTGGAGACGCTGTTCAGTAAGTGGCCGCTGGGGGTAGACACGTGTCAGTCCCACGTGGGTGGGCTCGCCGGGACCAGAGGCCTGTCTGTCCAGTTGAGGGTGGAAATCCTTCTCTCGGGGGAGGGAGGGAAGAAATGACGGCTTGGGAGACTCAGGGGCGCGGCTGCCAGAGGGGAAGGAGATAATGTGCCCATCGCTGCTGCTCGCTCACGGGTGACACCCTGTTTTTCTCCCTCCCCAGGGATATTTAAGCAGCTGGACCCCGAGAACACAGGAACCATACAGCTCGACCTGATCTCTGTAAGTACACCACCCCTCGCTCGGACGTGGACGGGAGGGGAGGGCTGTCACCTGGGGGACAGGGACCTATGGCTGGTTGACATGCTGTCTGAAAGCTCTCTCGTCTGCTGGGGACAGGCCCGTGAATGGGTCTAGGACCCCATGAGGCATTGTGTTTGTAGCCTTTCCCCAGCTTCCGATCGGCTCTAGAGCGCCAGGAGGCGCACCTGGTCCCTGGTCCCAGGAGCTTCGCCCTGAGGCCAGCACTGGGTGGGGATGAGAAGAGGGGGCAGCAGGTCCCTCTTAGAAACGCGCCCTGCTAACCAGCAAGCCTGGGCAGGGTGCTTCTAGAAGGAAACCCTGTAGATGAAATCCAAGTGCATTCTTAGAACAGATGAACTTAAAATAGCTGCTGAGAAAAATCACTTTCCTCTCCTTCTTCCCCCTTTAAAATAAAATAAACAGCCCGGCTGGCGTGGCTCAGTGGTGGAGCGTCAACCTATGAACCAGGAGGTCAGGGTTCGAGTCCTGATCAGGGCACATGCCTAGGTTGCGGGCTCCATCCCCAGTGTGGGGCGTGCAGGAGGCAGCCAATCCATGACTCTCTTTCATCATTGATGTTTCTATCTCTCCCTCTCCCGGCCTCTCTGAAATCAATAAAAATATTTATTTAAAAAAAAAATAAAATAAAACCCTTCAGTCTGCAGGCCGATGCTCTATCCACTGAGCCAAACCAGCTAGGGCTAAAAATATATTTTAAAAAATAAATTAAAATGAGCAATAGTAACTAAGCTTCCCTTAAGTAAGTACTGCGCTCCCGTGTCTGGAACCCCAGCAAGGCCCACTTCTGGAATGCTCATCAACCCAAATTAAACTGGAATGCCAATGCCACACAATGCACAGTGTCCTCCCGCCATCCGAACACAGCAGCCTCTCCCCCATCCGAGAAAGAAGCCAGCTCGGGCACGCTTTCATTAGGGAGCAGCAAGGGCTGGGTCGGGGGGCAGTGCTGGGGGGGACAGGGGGGTGACCAAGTCCCCGTGGACCAGAGAGGAGCTAAGTCCTAAGAAGGCAACGCTTTCCCTTGAGTTTTGCAATCTAGAGAGAGCCAGCTATTTCTAGAGAAAGAGCTATTTGACTGCCTGATGCATCCGCAGTACCTTTAGCCAACCGAAAGGATGCTTACGTAGCTGGTTACAAGTCACACGGACTTGCTCAGAACGCGGTAGCCCGGGAGACAGCCCTACCCCGAGATGGCGATCTCACGTGGAGGCCACACAACTGACGCAACGTGCCATCTGCTAAGTCCGGACACTCGAGCCCCTGTACCGTTGTTACTGGGAGCCCTACTCTTCCCCAGCTCCCACCCCACGCCGGCCAGCTGCCACCTCGGCCCACCCTCCCCACTTCCCAGGGAAACATCTGCCATCGGCTCCCCTGCTGCCCTCAGCCGCCCCTTCCACAGGCGCCTAGAGCTGCCCACACTCTAGTCTTAGCTGAAGATGAGAAACATCAAGAAAATGCGCCTCGGTTTACAGTCTGCTCAGCCCCGGCTGCAGGTGACATCACCTGCCGACTCTGCCGAGTCCTGCTCTCCAGGCCCATCCAGCCGGTTCGGTCCGGATCCCTATTCGAGCTCCCAGAGGCTCCAGTAAGAACCAAGGTTGAAAACCACTCGTTTAAGGGAGAGCCACACCCCAGACGACCTGCTGATGGGGCGAAACAGCGTGAAAGCCCCGGGTGGTCGCTCCGGGATGAGAGCGTCGGCCTGGGCACCGAAGGGGCTCGGGTTCGATTCCCGGTCAAGGGCACGTACCTGGGTTGCAGGCTCGACCTCCAGGCCCAGTCAGGACAGGTACAGGCGGCAACCAATCGAGCGTCTCTCCCACATCGATCTCTCTCCCCAGCCGCCCTCCCTCCCTTCCAGTCTCTCTAAAAATCAATAGAAAAAATACCCTCAGGTGAGGATTAACAACAAAAAAAAACCCCAGAGAATAATCCAGATGCTGTCCGAGTCGCACATTTGGTGTGTCTCATTCAACCCTGAATATAATTCACGACCACCTGCTTCAAGTATCGGCTTTTTACTAACCTGTGAAAAACTAGATTCTAGAAATCAGGTAGAAAAAAACATGAGTTGGCACACTGATATCTTAACCCTCGCTCAGCTTTTCTGGTGCCAAGTCAGTCCTTCAGAATCATCTACAGGTAAGTTGCCTTTCATTTTAAAAATAGTCACTGAACTGATTCTTTTTCTCCTTCCTCCCAGTGGCTCTGTTTCTCAGTACTTTGAAGTTATACACAAATTTGCCTGAAGACGCCTCGTGAAAGAAAATCAGCCACGGACTAAGCTTTCACAGAGAAACTTTTATCCGGACCTTGATGACGGGAACATTTACTTAAACCGATGATTATAGCCGAACATAACGATACCATTTGAGATAGGAAAAGATTTGCATATCATTAGACTAAATGCAAGCGAGTCGCTTAACCCTCGACCGGCTCAAAGAAAGCTTTAAATCTGTACATAGGATACACTTTTTACTTTTACACACGGTCCCTTTAGAGCAATATTAAATCAGGTAAAGAAACATAAAAATAAAAATGCAGGGGTTTTAACAGCTGAGCAAACATTCAGTCCATCTCAGAGGACACAGGGTCCTGCTGGGAATACTGAAAGCAACTTCCAGTTCAAAAATGCAGCTTCGACATTTACCAAAGAGCAGCTCAGGGCTCACCCGATCCCTTAAGTAAAATCAGAAATACTAGGACGATGGTCAACAGGGATGCTGTCAAGGCCCCTGGAGCCAGTGAGAACGCCCACCGCCGTCTCCGGTTAAACAGGAGGCGGTTTCCAGGACACCGACTGGCAAACAGTAAGTCTGAGATTCGAGTCCATGTGTATCCTACACTGAGTGTTAAAAATACCGAAGGGAGGCCACGCGTGGCCGCGGACACAGAACACGGGACCCAGGCGTCCAGCGTGCACACCTGTTGTGATGAAGACAAAACAAGCTGCTGCCTGCTCAAGCTCCCGCACTCAGCCACCTCCAGCACCGCGCACGGAGTGGGGGGGTCGCGCAGGGAGTGGGGGGTCGGGGCGAGGGAGCCCCGGGAGAGAACACAGTTCGTTCCTCGGCTCCCCTGGGGCTGCGCTGACACTATGGGAATGCTGCCTTGTTGCCTTACCTGCCGAATGTGCTGTTAAATAAAGAGTCGCCTGGCACCGCAGTGCGTGCTGTGCTTCCTGGAGGCGTGGCGGGGCAGCCTGCTTCCCCTCTGACCCGCGTGACCCCGACTCCCAGGTGGGGCTGTGCATGACACGGAAACCAAACCAGAAGGCAGCGCAAAGTCCCACATGTACTTTTATTACAACTGTTTTCAAAGTCAGCTATGATCTTGCCAAGTATTATGGGTCAGTCTATAACAAGTCATTTCCAAGATACAAAAGGCAATAAATATAGATTCAAATGTGGCCTAAAAACAAGATTCCAAACCTAATTATCTGTAGTGTAGCTTGGTTTCAATATTTCAAATATATGCCTAATTCTTAAAATGCTACAAGCACGTGTAACAATGAAGTCACTGCTCACTGGCCGCCAACCGCCCTTCACTGACAGGGCACGGGCGTGTGCACCTTCGAGCCTTCATGGGCCCCGAGGGCAGCTGGGGCCATCAGAGGTGGCCCAGGGTGGCCCGTGATGGCCCTGGTCCTTCCCGTGGGGGGACAGGCACAGGGGCAGGTGCTGGAAAACTCCAAGGGTCTCCCAGGAGCCCGACACGGGCCTGCTTCTGGCGGAAAGAGGCTGTCGCTGTGTCTGAGTGCTCCTGGCACGCCTGTCCCAGCGCAGTGAGGCCACTTCCGCCTAAGCTCCACTTCCTGGTGCCGCCGTCCTGCACCAACAGGGAGTTCTTCCATCCTTCATTTCTTCCAGAGCATTCTCATGGCTCTCACGTTACGGCGTCATTGAAATAAGTCTTGTGAGATTGTGCCCAAAACAATCCTATGACTTCTTAGTGGTAACAGAGATTAGTTCTTCATTAACTACCTTCAGTCAGGTTTCAGGCCAAGCTCCTCTGTCTTGGTTTAATTCTTGGGTACAGCTGTAAGAGAGTTTACAAGACGTTTACACACATACGAACATGGGGAGCACAGCTCAGGAAATATGGGGGTGGGGACTGGTGGGACAGGGAAGAAAATTAAAGAAAAGGGTTCCTTCTGCCTTGTGAAGCCCCCAGAGTTGCGCAAAGACGCAAAGATTCACATGTAGCAACTCTCAGCTCAGGGACACTCAGAAGCCACAGGGCCCCTTAGCAGGCACAACGCCATAGCAGGGACATGAAACCCACGATGCTCTCAGCGTGAGCTCCATCTGCACAGCGAACAAGTCTGGCGAGGATGCCGCCGGCTGCGGTGACCTGCAACATGCTAGGCCCCGCACCTGAAGCTCCCATTTCAAGGGAAACGTAAGAGATTCACGTCTCTTTCAACCTGATTCACGACGGACACAGCTCTGTGTCCCGGGACTCCGGGCTGTCAGGAGCGAAATGCCCCGACTCCAAGTCTACAGATCGAGGAGCGATAGTGGAGTGTTCTGTTTTAGGGTTTTGTGGGTGTGTGTTTTCCATAACAAGAGCTGGAGAGCAGCGTGTATGTGAAGGTCACAAGATCCCCCGTCGGGAAGCCAAGAGCAAGTCAAGCTAGTAATTCAACTGGCGGCCGAACAAAAGCCCCCCTCCCCCCACTCCCTCCCCCTCTCCTCTCACAAAGGGGAAAAGGTTTTACTGAAAGAAAGGAGTCAGACTTCCAGCCAAAACTGAAAAACTAACTGCAGGATCCACGTTATATAAAGGGTTATTTTTCTCTCCGAGAAAAGATGTTTAGCCAACACAATTTTCTAAACGCGTAGCTGAGCCGCTGGCTAAAATTCAACATGTATGCAGTTTTCTTTTTAAATTTCCAAGAAACAAACAAAGAGTGTGGTGCGGAGGCCACTCCGGTCCAGAGGAGATTTCCACAGGACTGACTGCTCACCGCTGGGCCGAAAGGAGCTTCAGTGCAGCCGTGATTCCAGAAGCTCCGAGCCACACGCACGGGCAGCCCCGTGTCTGGGCCCCTGCTTCCCGCTGGGAATCCCCCCCCAGCTTCCCCAACCCCTCGAGCCGCCACCACAGCACCTCTTTGTCAGGGACTAAAACAAGACCCAAATAAGCAACCAGCTCTCAGAGGCCGCAAGACACTGGAGAAGTCGGCGTTGACTGGCTGGGGTTTGGCCGAGGGACAGTGGCGCTCAGACAGGCATTTCTCTGCTGCTAAGGACTGAGCAGAGCGAGTGGGCTCGGAGGAGAGCCACCTCCGTGTTGCTACTTCTCCGGGGAACTCAGAGCCTTTGTAAAGGGCCCCATGCCTGTTTCTTTTCACTCCACGATCCTCTGTCATTTACATTACACGAAGGAGCACTGGCTGTTGAATAATAAATCTTGCATCACAGGCAGCGCGGGGACGGGTGAAATCATTTAGGCTGCACAGCAGACAAGCAACAATGGAGAAGGGAGAGCCAGGAGGACAGGCTGGTCACCAGCTGGCCAGCCAGGCCCCGGCACAAGTCACTTTAACCAGCTCGGCCGCAGGGCGCCAGACAGAGGCTGGGTCAGGGCCTCGCTGCCAGTCGAAGCTCTAAGTGGGCACAGGCCATGTCTGCCCCACAGCTGATGGCAATACCAACAGATCCACCTCCCAGCCACTGTCAGCACCTGCTCTACCCTCAGCCTCCCCACCCGCCTCCCGCGGCCCCGGTCACCCAGGTCCCAGGGCTCGGGGCACCTGCCCGGAGTGGGAGCCAGGGCTACTGACCCATGTGCTGTTCCTTGTAGGTGACATCGCCCTTCCCGCCCTCAGACTCGCCTACTTCCTCACCAACAGGCTCTGCAAGCACTTGTACCTTTAAGCTGGGAGCTCAGTCTCTCAATTAACTCACATTTCTCTGCCTGGTTCCCATGTCCACAGGCCCCAGGCGCACACGGTATAGAACACGGAGCCTGTGAAGGAGGCTCCCGCCAGGTCCACCAGGAGTTCCTCCCCCTCTTCCCTGGCCGCCCAGCCTCCTCCCCGAAGGCCCTGCTGAGTCTTTACTGAGGGCGGCCCCTCTTCGTGTGCTCTTAGTTCATATGATCTTACTATTTTCTGGTTTTTATGAAACTTAAAATCAAGCAGCAGAGAAAGAACCAACAATCCTGTTCGCTAGCAGAGCTGCAAATCCCGATTTAAACACTTTCATTTCCAGTGTCGTGAGCTCGCTGCCCATCCGTTAGCTTTACCCCACCTGCACATGCGACAGGCCCTGACCTCCAGGCCTGGCAAACGTGGAAACGTGCAACTGGCCATCAACAGGAACCACTGGAGATGCGGCTTTTCGTCTAAACCTGTGACCATCAGCATTTCACATTCCATGTCCCGTGAGCACAGGGCAGCCGGCTACACTGCGCCCGTAACACCCGGGGTTTTCACCAAGCCCCCCTCAAAGCCTCGCCCGGGCCGGGGAACTCACCCCCAGCAGGTTGCGCGGGACGTAGCCCTCCTTGTCGTTCAGGCGCGCCCACCACCACTCCACCTCGTCCTCGTCCTCCCGCCGGAGGACGGTCATGCAGTCTCCCTCCTTCATGGGCAGCTCGTCCTCATTCTGAGGCTCGTAATCCCAGAGCGCATAGATGACGCCTTTGTTCATGATGCCCATCTTCTCCTGGACGCCTGCAGCGGCGGGAGACACGGCACAGGGAGTTAACGTGGAGCGGACCCCCTGCTGCAGGAGTCTGCGTGGGTACAAGCGGGCCCCTCGCACTTCTCCCTTAAACACCCGCACGCAGAGTCCCGGGCAGGGAGGGCGGCCGCAGGGCAGAGGGGACAGACAGACGAGGTCCCCGCACTTCTCCCTTAAACACCCGCACGCAGAGTCCCGGGCAGGGAGGGCGGCCGCAGAGCAGAGGGGACAGGCAGACGAGGTCCCCGCACTTCTCCCTTAAATACCCGCACGCAGAGTCCCGGGCAGGGAGGGCGGCCGCAGGGCAGAGGGGACAGACAGACGAGGTCCCCGCACTTCTCCCTTAAACACCCGCACGCAGAGTCCCGGGCAGGGAGGGCGGCCGCAGGGCAGAGGGGACAGACAGACGAGGTCCCCGCGCTGCCGGCTCTAAGCCCGCACACTGACCACCTCTGAGCACCTCTCCACGCTAGTCTGCCTCCCCACACAGCCTTCTGCAAGCCCAGGGGTCGGAGAAGAAGCGCCACAGGCGAGGACAGGAGCGCCAGCGGCATGCCGTCCCCTCCCAGCCGACCCCTAAGCCCCAGGGCTCATCCGCGCCCTAAACCCCGAGCGGACAGGGAAAAGCAGAGCGTGTGTCTGTTAAAGGGGCCGCTACCCGTTCCCAAGTGGGGAAGGATGGAAGAACCACATGGAACCACTGCGATGCAGGATGTGGCGAAAAGCCTGCACGCAGTCAACTCTACAATAACGAGACTCCGAATTCTAAGACAGTGAAGTCCACAAACTGGGGAGCGGAGAGTCCCGCAGCGCCCACTCTGTAGCGGAGCTCCTCCCCAGCCCCCTCTCTCCAGCCCTGCCCCCCTCCCCCTCGGGGTGCTGCTTGTGAGGAGTAGCGTGAGGGGTAACGGTCCTTACGGGGCGGGCACGGATTCACGGCGTGCTGCACACACGTCTCACGCCTACGCACCGTACAGAAACTGGGAGCACTGCGTGTAGCCCTCCTCCATCTCCTCGCACTTGTCCGCGGCCGTCTGCATGTCGCTGTAGGTCATGGCAAACACGGCGGCCCCCGACTCCACCAGGAACTTACACACCTGGACGTTGTTGCAGGAGGCCGCGCAATGCAGGGGGGTCCTGTGGGGGGGACAGCAGGGGCTGGGAACAGTTCTTAACCGAACGGCACCTGCTGCCACCTGGTATCTGGAAAGGAAGTTCTTGAGTCGCGTCCACTAAGCCCCGCCTTCCGAGAACTCTTCACAGTTTCCTTTAAATCAGTTACACGCAGACGCCGGGCCCACCAGAGAGCCACAGCCACAGAGGAACACGTCCGAGTGCTGGGCTGCACGGGCTGGAGCGGGGGGAGGGGAGGAGACTCAGGAAATGAGCCAAAGGACATGAAACCTGGGCAATAATCTAAACCAGGGTGAGATGTATATAGTTGGATGCTCTGAAGCTCCCGCTAATTATTCTGCCAGAGCAGCGGGCACGACAGTCTTCTCACTACAGACCTTTACTCGGAACATGTGCCTCGCTGTTAATGCCATCACCGACTCTCTCGCCAGCACGGCCATCGCTTTGTCATGGACCGCCAGCGACCCCAGGCTGACAGGGAGGCAGCGCTGCTGCCCAGGCTCAGAAGAAGGGCTTGAGAAACTTTTTAAAAATATATTTTTTTAATTGATTTCCGAAAGGGAGAGAGATAGAGGGATAGAAACATCAATGACGAGAGAGAATCACTGATTGGCTGCCTCCTGCACGCCCCCCACTGGGGGAGTGGGGGGGGATCGAGCCCACAACCCGGGCATGTGCCCTTGGCTGGAATTGAACCTGGGACCCTGTAGTCCACAGGCCAACGCTATCCACTGAGCCAAACCTAGGGGTTGAGAATTTTAAGGAGGCCCTACAGTACATAGGATTCTGTTTCTTTACCCTTTTTCTCCCTCCCCTCTTCGTTTCGTTCCTCTTGGGTACACGGGTTTAAAAAAGTGTACCCCCATCCCCAATCCAGACGCCATCACTAACAGTGTGGTGACTTTAACAACAGGATTTTTCAACTCCCTGTTTTGTAATAGCGGGAAATTACATATAAGCTGAGCTCCCAACATGAGGGAACAGGATGTTATCACACATTAAGAATTTGTTTCAGTTAAATTTTTAAAAATGGACTAAAATATGCGGAGTTGCAAGGAAATCTCACCACCCGTCGCTGTCAGCAGCATTTACGTTCACACCAAACTGCACCAGGAACTTCACAATCTCCGTGTGGCCGGCGCACACGGCGTTGTGGAGCGCCGTGATGCCCTCGTCGTTGGGCAGGCTCGGGTCCTCCACCTGGAAAGCAAGGAGAAGGTGGGCGCTGCTCAAGTGTCTGCACACCTGAACCGCCACGGCGCCCTGGCTCTGCAGGATCCTGAGGACAGGAATAGACTCGTGGCCTTTTAAAAATCGTAATTAAAGCCTACGAGAGCCAAGAAAACGACACCTAGGACAATTCTAGAAATAAGACAGACAAAACAGCCGCGTTAGGTAGGCACTCGCTATGAAAAGTCTTTTTTCCTTCCCAAAAATTGAAGTAGAACCAGAAACTGTATCCGTAGAGTCATTTTTGTTTATTTACCCTCCAACTTTCCACCACAAATTAGTATCTAACTACAAGTGACATTTTCCATGGAAAGAAAAAAAGGTCAACTAAAAATATTTTAAATTGTAGGCTTCTGAACAGTAGGGACCACATCTGTAATTTAACAGTCTAGTATAAATCCACACAGGAGCATTGTTAAAGGAGGGCAAGGACCCCCCGAGAAAGCACAGGACTCGAGGGGGCCTGGTGGAGACTAACTTCTGCATCATCGAACACCCGACAGTCGCACCTTTAGAACAGCAACGCCTGCTTGGGAGCAAGTTCAAGAGTTCCTCTCAACAACCCCACCTCCCCCAAAAGAAAATTTAAAAATACAACTTCTCTATTGCAGCCTCCTGATCTGAGCTTTAAAGCAAACTATGATGCAAGGTCGTGTTTAAGAAACTGACCAATCATACCTCATAGATAATCCTCTGTACAAGGTCAAACTCTCCCTCCAGAGATGAATCTAGAAGCAAAGCCAGGGGGTTGAACTTCACCCTCATTCCGTGGGCAATTCGCTCGGAACCAGTCTTACGTAAGTTGGTCCTTTTGCCCTGCAGAAGAAAAGCGTGGAAAATTAAGGATCCTGCTCTAAGCGAGAGACTGACAAAAATGGGGAGAATAACATCTCAGCTGAGTTGGTAAGAGACACAAAAGTATATTCAGCACTGTTTATGAAAGTACCACATTACTCAGAAGAGTATATAAACCACAACAGCTTAACCAATGTGCCCACAGAATATGACTTTCTGGAACCTAGTGAGATACATTTGGTCGTCCCTCCAGCAGGAACTGAGCTAAGAGGACCATCTCCAGTGACAGGAGGGCTGGTTTTCTGTCAAGTTCAAAACTAACCAAGACTGGCTTTTAAATTACCTACCTCACATGGTATAGCAAACCCCACGGTTCAACCGGGCAAGAGCTAACCCTAACCCTCACCCTCTCCCTTCCTCTCTCTCCAAAAATCAATAAAAATATTTTTTTAAAACAACACAACGCTGTTTCCTTTCCATTTATAAGGTTGACTCTGTGCCAAAGAAATCCTATCTAATAAAAGAGTAATATGCAAATTAACCATCCCTCCACAACAAAGATGGCAGCACCCATAGTGACCGGGGCGGGATGCTGGCCGTGTCACCCTGGCAGCACGAGCCCTGCGTCTGCACCCGGCCACATGGAGGGAGGGGAAGGGCCTCGGACCAGAGGCTGGGCGAGGGACGCTGGCGTCGTTGCGGGCCGGGCTGAGGGATGCCCCCATGCACGAATTTCGTGCACTGGGCCTCTAGTTATAGAATAAAAAGACAAACTGCGGGGCACATGCGCTGCAGTGGGCAGTTTACACACCAGCCTTTGCAAATGGCTGCACACACTTGCTGCTGCTTCGCCGAGTTTCACAATCAGCCCCTAGAAGAGCGACAAGGCTCCTGAAGCACCACGAGCACCACGTGACTTACCGGAGGCAGCGACACCTGCCCGGTGATCTCAGGCGGACGCAGGCTCCCGGAGTCTTCCCCCAGCCCCTCTGGCTCCCCCGAGGGGTACGGTGGCGGAGGGTAGGGGGGATACTCCTCCAGGTACACCTCCAGCAGGTGGGGAGCCTCTGGATTCGGTTCTTCCACGTTATTCGGGAAACTCGGGCTGGTGTCCGGGGTGCCTTCGGACACATAATCCAGGCCCAGGGGAGGAGCTGGCACGTCACTGTTCGCTGTGCTGGCGTGGGTGGCCACCTCCGGGGACACGGGCTCAGGGGCCAGACAGGCCACCTCCTTCTCCGGCTCCGCGTGTGCATACGGGTTCTGGATCTCCATGGGGCTCTCGGGGCCGGCAGTCACTGCGCTCGCCGTGGCCGGGTAGGAGGGCACCGAGATGGTCTCCATGGCAGCGATGGTGGTCCGCTGGTACAGGAGCTTCTGAATGTTGGGCCCATTGGGCCCTTCTGGCTCTGTGATGGAGCTGCGCTTCTTCAGGGGCCGGGGGGCGTTGGACAGTTTCTTCCGCAGAGCTTCGAGGTCAACGTCGCTCTGGTTTCGGTAGGGATGTGACAGGAAAGGCAGTAACTTGGTGGGGCTGAGGGGCCGAGGAATCCTCTCATTCTCGTGGCTCTCCGGAACGGAGGAGGCCGGCTCCGTGTCGGACTCCGGGCCGCCAGGTTTGCCCTGGTTCCCGGAGTAAATGCTGTCCGGGGGCTGTGGGTTTTGGGCAGTGATCACAGGCTTGCCATAGACTGATTGCAAAAGGAAAAAAGCTCCGATTAACGTCAGCTAAGCAACACTGGCAAGTCACAGCCACGACTAACCATAACGAAGGCCTCTCTGAATCTCATGAAAGCGCCTCCACGGGCAGCTGCCCGATCGTCCAGGCACCAAGAGGACATCGGCTGCCTATGTGAACATAGCCTCATGCAGCGCACACTGCGGGCATCTGTCCCAAGTCCCCACTGAGGCCTGTGTCCTCAGCTCTGAAGGGGCCGGCAGGGAGTGGGAGCAGATCCCTCGGGCAACCACCACCAGCAGGCTCTGTCTCTCCTATCGATTTTGTTCCTCTATTTTACTCCGTGTTTCGTAGTATTCACTACTATCACTGCAGTCAGTGGCTGATGTTTAGCAGAAACTCACATTTTAAACTGCCAATCAAGACCAAAAGCCACGATGAAACAAAACTCACAGAAAAACATCGGTCAGACGGGACAAGTCCCTTGGCTTCCTGGCGGGTGACAGCCCTGGTGGGACTGCCATCACCCACGCGGGTGAAAGGAGGGGAGGAGCTTACCGCTGGGGAAGTGTGGCCCTCGGGGCTGTGCCTTGGTCAGGGCGCTCTGCACGGCCTGCTGGAAGCTCTTCCCAGGCGCCTGGTGCTGCGTGTACATGGAGTAGATGGAGCTGGCCGCCACCGTCTGCGGCCTCCGGAAGGGGGGCAGGCCGGCCTCCTTGGAGGGCTGTGGCGTGAAGGGCCGCACAGCCGCGGCCGGTGGGCTCTCCTGCTTGGCGCCGGGCACGAGGGCTGGGTCCTGGCCGCCCGACGGTGCGCCGGGGGCCAGCAGGCCCCTCTGTGGCTGCCCCGCAGGCTTGGGCTTATTTCCCACGGACGCCACGGCTGCGGACAACTGCAGAGGGTTCCCGTCGGGCTTCATGTCTGACGGGGACACACTGGTTTGTCCGAAATAAGGCAAGTTGATCTGCTTGGGTTTTGATGGAACAGGAGGTGGTACTTTCCCATTTTTATTTGCAGCCTGTAAGACACACACACACACACAGTCAGTAAAAATACTGAGCAACTGGGCACACAGATGGTTGAGATGACCCAACTGCACAGATGCAAGTAAACACTAAACCTCCTAGCTCCACATGTTTAATCATTCTCATTTAACTCCGAAGTCTCTGAACTGAGGCACGGTTTACGCGGGCTCAGTAACGCAGAGCAGTTCCCGGGAGGAGCCACCCCGCCGTGCCCACTTCTGTCCCGGCAGGTAACTGAGCAGACACATTGGCTGTTCTCCTTTGCACTCGTGTTTCTTAGGGAATCACATGAAATACGGCCCAGACGCAGGTAGGTCAGCTGCCCCCGTCGGTGTGACACCGAATACAGACTCGCTGCCCAGGACAGAGGCTGCGTGTTCCCTGACCTCCCAGGTGTCGCTGCGGCTTCCTCCCCGCCACCTCGCCCTGTACCCCCTCTAACACCAGCGGGCTCTACCCCTGGGCGTGCCCGCGCCCCGTACCTGCGCGTCCCGCAGGATGTCCTCGCTGCTCTGGTTCTTCCTCAGGGACCCGAAGGCGGGGGGCGCAGCCGCCTGGTCGACCGTGTCGAACATGGAGAAGGGGCGCACTTTCTTCTCCTTCTCCCTCGGTGGAGCCTCTCCATCATCAGCTGAAGAAAACAGGAAAAAGGAAATCACACTGATATTCAAACTGTTTGTAAGAGCTTCTTGCTCACGTGTCAGTTTCCCTCCTCCACCTCTTGGGAACCCTGCCCTCAAAAATGCTTCCCTAATTGTAAATTAAGGTGATTGAGAAATAACCCAGACACGACAATGCTGGCATTGCCTTCGTTCCCTGGCTAAGTAAGGGTGATCCACAAATAAACCCCGCCCCTGGCTTTAACACTAGAAACAACCACCTGAAAAGAACTCCCGGCACCTTGAGAAGCCCAAGCAGAAAGCTGGGAGCAGCGCCGAGCCTCACCTGGGTCGGGCGCACTCCCGGCGCCTTTTGGGGCAGAGGCCTGGCTCGGGAAGAGGTCTGCGTGGGGACTCCAGTCGGGGCCGAGCGAATGGACTTTAGAGCCTAAAACACAGAAAAGCAGCCACAAATAACCTGGGTTCTAAAGAGGTTTTAATGATTCCTTTGCTGCTAAGAAATGGAATCTCTAAAAAACAGCTTTAAATTTCAGAGTCAACCATCCCAGCAAACTTATTTAGAAAATGTTAGGGTGCACATTTTTAATTTAAAATGGTCTCCCTCCCTCAAACAATTGATAACTAATCGTGGCAAGTGGAAAGCCTGCCAACAAGGACACATGGCTCTCTGCTGGGTAAGAAAATGTCACCATCACTCCCAGAAAACGATTTCTATTTAGCAGGCCGAGGGCTCCCTAACGACACCAAAAGCACACACTATAATAGGCAAAAAAATAAAAATAAGCCATAACTTGGACTAGTCTTGCCCAAATCAGTGTATTCAGGATTTTCCTACACCAGGACTGAAGTTTCAAAGCTTTCTTTTTCCTTACAGAAACAACACAAAAGCACCTCTACAAAAACTCACAGGTGCCACACTGCTTCACAGTGGCCATTCTGGCAAAATAATAACTAAGTGAGCAAAAGCATGCACATGATAGTGGCAGGGGATGAGACAATACTGTTATCTTTTCTCCCGTGTTTACCCTCCTTTTCCACGGTTCTCCCTTCATCTTCCTCCCATTACAGACCTCGGCTAGCCCCTCCCAGGCACCTGGGGAAGACCTGGGATGCAAAGCCCACTAAGGAGCCTGTTACTCACACTTTCCCTCCCAACAGGCTGACCTTGATCCTCGCATCATCAGCGGGCAGGTGCTCAAGCACACACACACCTGAGATAAACATGACTTACCAACAGGGGACTCACCACCTCGCGCTCTGCAAAGTCAACACCACCAACCACATCGATGGTGTTTTCACACCAACAGCTGGTTCCCAGTTACTAACATCCGATCACAGTTTCCTTGTTCACAAGGAGGAATTCAATACAGTTTTCGGATTTGCCAAGACAGTACATTCTGCTTCCCTTCCTGACCAGAACTGTGTCACTCGGGGCTAAGAACCCTATCGCCCAGCAATGAATACAGGGGATCCTTAGAATCTGAACACGAACAGGGACAGGAAGACGTTGTTGTAAAACTCCCGCTTGGGAAACGCAGCAGCGAGGACGGGAGGCGGCGCTGTGGCAGGACGTGCGTGTGACGGGCTTTACCTTTAGTCTGCGCGGCGGCCCCGGATCGCATGTTGGGCAGGGTGTGGACTTTCATGGGCCCCTCCGCAGGCTGCATGGCCAAGGGTCCATCGGGCAGCGCCGGCTTCACCAGCAGTTCCGGCCGGGAGGGCATCCGGGGCATGGTGGACGACTGGATGTAGGGACCGACGGCAGCCACGCGACTCGGCGCCGACACGCCTGGCGGAGGCAGGTTCCCATCAGGTGAAACCTTCGGAAGAAGCACAGGTCCCTCAGGATCACAAGGCAGAGGGCATCCAGGAAAGGCTGGGAAATGTCCGTCGTGTTTAACAATCAGCTCTAGCCAGAGCCTACTAGGAACTCCCAAACAGAAGCACCGCTCAGTGAGCTCTGCCCACCCTTACTACAAGTATTAGCGAGGAAACCGGAGCCACGCAGGTCGGAACGGCAACAGGCACAAGAAGATGGGTCACGTCTGAGCAGCTCTGAGCACCGCCTCTCCGCGGAGGGCACAGCCAGCACTGACCACGGAGCCGCTGCCGAGAACTGGCCGCCCGGGGCTGGCCTCCCCCCCTCCGCCCGCCCACAGCCAGCAGCCCACTCACGGGGAGGTTCTCCTTCTGCTGCAGCGCCGCCTTCTTCTTCCACAGCCGGTCCCGCAGCTCATTCACACGCTTGTCCATCACCGCCACCTCTGAATTGCGCTTATTCAAACACTCCCTCTGTTGTTGCAGCTTGGCATTCTGCTCCTGATTCAGTTTGTTTCGTAACTGAATAAAACGGGGGACAACAAAAAAAGGTAGTCAAAGAGGAGGAAGAAAAAGTTCTCACACGGAGTCCCAGGGGCCACTATTACATAATTTCTAAAAGTGTAAGGTCTCCTGCCCACTGTCCCACCCCTCCTTTCTCATCTCGAGGTTTCTAGTCCAGTGCAGACCACGGGCTGTGGCTCAGAGGACTGCCTCTGATGGCCAGTGTGAGGCACTGGACAGTTTATTCTAGATGCATCGGGGCTTAGGTCTTCTCCCCTTCATCTCCTTAAAGCAGCGGTTCTCAACCTGTGGGTCATGACCCCTGAAAATACATCCTGCATATCAGATATTTACAGTACGATTCATAACAGTAGCAAAATTACAGCTATGAAGTAGCAACGAAAATAATTTTATGGTTGGGGGTCACCACGACATGAGGAACTGTATTAAAGGGTCGCGGCATTAGGAAGGTTGAGAACCACTGCGAGGAAAAGACGTGGAAATCCAGCACTTTCTGCCATGCAGAAGGACCATGTGTGGCAGGGGAGGCGGCTGTTGTGCATCTCAGCAGCCAGGGTACCTGCAGTTCCTTGTACAGCCGGTCGAGCTCGGCCACGGCGGACTGGTTGTCATGGTGGCCGTCGATCCTGCCGTTCTTGAGCATCTCGAGCTGCCTCGTCAGCTCCTCGACTTTGGACATGGCCAGGACGAGCTCCCTCTGCTTCTGCTGGAACAGACTGTTCATCTGCTCAATTTCCTCCACTGGAAAGAGGAGAAAAAGCAACAATCATTGAAAAGAAATGGAAGAATGGACCACTTCCCAGCAAGCAGCTTCACAGTGAACTTCCTAACAAAAAGGAGAGGAATTTTCCAGACGTGTCCTAGGCCAACCTAGTGGTGTTTTGTTGTTTTTAATATATTTTCATTATGATTTCAGAGAGGAAGGAAGAGGGAGAGACAGAAACATCAACAACAAGAGAGAATCATTGATCGGCTGCCTCCTGTATGCCCCCTACTGGGGATGGAGCCTGCAACCCGGGCATGTGCCCTGACCGGGAATCAAACTGTGGCCTCCTGGTTCATAGGTCAATACTCAAACAGGCCCACACCCAGACACATCATCATTAAAATGCCAAAATTTAAAGGAAAAGAGAGGATCTTTTAAAGGCAGCAAGAGAAAAGCAATTTGTTACCTACAAAGGAGCTCCCATAGGCTGTCAGCTGATTACTTATCAGAAACTCTACAGGCCAGAAGGGAATGGCATGACGTATTCAAGGTAATGAAAAGCAAGATCTGAAACCAAGATTACTATATCCAGCAACGCTATAATTCAAAATAGATGGTGAAATAAAGACCTTCCCAGACAAAAAAAGGGTAAAGGGAGATTATCACCACCAAACCAGCACTGCAAGAAATGCTGAAGGGACAGCTGTAATGAGAAGAAATATAGAGTGAGAAGCATAGATATAAAAAATTAAAATGGTAATAAAAAATACCTACCAATAATAACCTTAAATGTAAATGGATTAAAAGCCCCAATAAGAAGACATGGGGTAGCTGAATGGATACAAAAGCATGAACCAATTATATGCTGTCTACAAGAGACCCACCTCAGAACAAAAGACTCACACAGGATGAAAGTGAAGGGATGGGAAAAAAATTCTCCTTGCAAATGGAAAAGAAAAAAAGAGCTGGGGTAGCAACACTCATATCTGACAAAACAGACTTCAAAATGAAGGCGTCACGAAAGACAAGAAAGGTCACGACATAGTACTAAAGGCACTGATCCAACAGGAGGATCTGACCCTGATAAACATATATGCACCCAATATAGGAGCACCTCATTATATAAAAAACTTCTAGAGGACTTTAAGGGAGAGATTGACAGCAATACAGTCATAGTAGGGGACTTTAACACCCCACTGACTTCACCGGATAGATCTTCCAGACAAAAAATTAACCAGGAGACAATGATGCTAAAGGATACACTAGATCAGATTTAATTGACATTTATAGGACAGTTCATCCCAAAACTGCAGAATATACATTCTTCTCAAGTGCACATGGATCATTCTCAAAGACAGACCACATGTTAGGACACAAAACAGAAGCATAGAATAGACTATGGAATCTCAGAGGGAAGGAGGAGGTAGGTGGGTGGGTGGGTGGGTGGGTGGGAAGAGATCAACCGAAGACCTTGTGTGCATGTGTGTATAACCCATGGACACAGACAACAGGGTGGTGAAGGCCTGGGGCTGGGGACAGAGCGGGCTAGAAGGGGCCAATGGGGGAAAAGGGGACATGTGTAATACTTTCAACAATAAAGATTTAATTTTTTTAAATCACTAACATTTTAATGTAAATGGTCACATAACTGATGGAGTTATTATATGACTAAAAATCCTTGCCTTCATCTGATTTGCAGTCAAAAAATATTTAGAGGAAAAAAACTACTTCATTTTCCAAAGGTAAGTTTAGAAACTTCTCTAAACATTCAACAACTCAATTCAATTCAGAGGAGCCAGCGACATCCAAAGCCTTCTTTTAAAGTTATCTACATACAGAGCCTCATCTTATTCCTCTTTCCTACAAGTTTATAGACTTCCGACCCCGACGCGTTCAACGTGCGGCCTTTGGAGCCGATACCTGTCGGGGCCACTCACCGAGCCTCCCGTTGCTCAGTCTCTTCTGCTCCACGTGGCCTTTGAGCGCTCTCACTTTCTTCAGCTTCGCTTCCTGGTTCTCGGCGATCTCTTTCAGCCTCCGGAGCTTCTCCTGCTCGGCAGCCTGCTGCTGCTGCCGCTGATCCTGCTGCTTCAGAAACTTCAAGCGCTGTTCCTAAAGGTGAAAGCCACCATCAGGCCGTACCACTGTCAGCAGGGATCCCACCAACCCCCAAATAATCTCACCAGAACCCCGAGACGCCGGGGCCAAGGCACACCAGAGCACTGCTCTGCCCTGTACACGCCATCAGACCAGCGGGGCCCACCCCCAGAACGCCTTGGGGGTGAGATCCAAAACGCAGGATTCCTAATCCGACTGGTTCTCCCAGCAAGCAGGGAGCCTTGAGCCCATTTTTATGCACCGCAGCTACAATGTAAGAGGGAGCTCCTGAAGGGGGCCGTCTAGGGAAGCTGTTAAGTGATAAGCTGTGGAATCAAATTCGGGTTCAGACCCGCGCTCCTCACTCTTTAGCTTTGACACCGCGGCCGCTCACATACGCTCAGCGCGTACACAAGTCCGTTTCTTCATCCATGAGATGATCAGTAACTACCTCGCGGGGCCCGTGAGGACTACATGAAACGTGAAATGTAACCCTCCTTGTACCTTACATCCTTAATACACACTCAATAAATACACTACCTACCCCCTGTAGGAAATTGCACTGTGCAGCTTTACATCTTATTTCTATAATATTCAATGCTTCAAGTAAACTGATAGAGCTACACAATCTATAATGAAGGGTAAACTTCACAAAATGCCTAAAACATATGTCACACAGAAATCGTTTCAAAATAAGACAAGAGGTTTCTTCCATTAACCTTCTTATTTGAATTTATGTCTTTACTACTCAAGGAATGATACCTCACAGCGTCACCTAGGAGCTTGTAAAACACAAAATTTCAGACCCAACCCAGACCTACTGAATCAGAGCCTGTGTTTTTAGCAAGAGGCCTGGGTGAGCCACGTGCGTATTGAAGTGTGAGGAGCCACGAGACGCATGACTCTGAGAAAGCGGGGTCTGCCTGGGGAGGAAGCCCAGGGGAATCCCGCGGAGGCTGGGTGTGGTGAGCACTGCCTTCCAGAATCCTAGCTGTCACGTGACTTGCTGTCAAGCCGCCACTGCCGGCCCCGCTGCAGGGAACTTGGTCACTGAGGGGCGGGCCAGCTGCGGATCCTGGGAGTTTAGGCCAGGGGCGGGCAGACCACAGCCCCCGGCTAGTCCCGCCTGCAGTTTCCCTGGGACACGGCCACCCCTCGGCTGCCTATGGCTGCTTCTCGCTACAACTGCAGACGGAGACAGGCGACCTGCGGAGGCTAAAGTGTTTCCTCGAGAGCCCTTCCCAGCGTCTGCTGCCACCGGCTGCAGCCTGGAGGCCGGGCTGGCAGGAGAGCCAGCAGGGAGCCGGTGTGACAGTCATGGGCAGGCGTCTGCTGGCTCCCTCGGTCAGGCCAGGACTGGGATTGGCTTGTGGGTGGAGAACGTCCCCAAAGTAAAGGCAAGCAGCCTGTTCTGGGCATGGGAGGGGCAGTGTTAGCATCCGTAGATGGGACATTCCTCTTTGAAGCCACGACTCAGGGAAAACTTAGCCCACAGCTCCTGCTGGCCACGTTCAAGGTTCCTACCACCGCCCTCTCTCACTGACACCGACACAGCTTGGTCATTTCATCAGAATCAGGGGCAGGAAGATCCCGAGCAATGGGATGATCAGGGGTTTCCACCAAAAGCTGCAGTGAAGAGGAGAAGGCACCGCCCAGCAGGTGACCTGGGGTTCAGAGCGCACGTCCTGTCTGTGAGGTAACTGGTGTCACAATGAGGGTGCACTGTCAACAGCCCGGCACGCACACTGGCATGGCGGCCTGTCAGGCTCTTCACACAAGACGTTACCTTCGTCGCCAGCATCTGCTGCTGGGCCTCTATCTGCTGCTGCTGGCGAGATGCCATTTCCTGGAGCTCAGCGAGGGTCAGATCCATCCTAGGACTATTAACCTGAGAGAGGAAACAACAAGCCAGGCACATGGGTGAGCGCAGAGACTGCGCACGGAGGTCTAGCTGTGCTATGGATAAGCCTCACCTGAACCAATCAGGCACCATTATCCAGCCATTTTCCTTCCATGATATTAAAGAGACCATTGATTTTCTACATCAACACCTCCCCCCCGTTGACTTATTCTACATCAACACCTCCCCCCCGTTGACTTATTACTAAGTTAAGGTATAAAACATACTAACATACAGACCAACACTTTTATTTTAAATAAAATAAAATATTTTATTTTAAAACTATTTAAATAGTTTCAGTAATCAGTAACATAAGTGGAACAATTTAGAAAAACCCTGTTCTGTAGTTAATTTATATCAGAAAGTAGTGTGTGATCATGTTAAACGTGATGGAGGGGCATTGGCGGCAAATCTACAACAGGCATCAGACCACCATCAAAAATATGACACTGGCATTCAAAAATGTCAAGAAACACTGGATCATCAGAAACAAAAGGCAAGATGTCTACTCCCAAAACCTCTACTCAACATGGCCCTAGAAGTTCTAGCCAGTGCAATAGAACAAGAACGAGAAATAAACTGTATCCAGATTGGGGAGGAAGGAGTTAAGCTGTCATTAACTTATAGACAACATCATCATCTGTAAAGAACTGTAAGAAAACTATTAGAACAATAAGTTACTTAGCAAGATAGCAAGATAAAAATAAATCAATATGCCAAAAATCAATCCCCTTTCTATATATCAGGAAAACCAGAAATTGAAAATTTTTTTAACCAGTTAACTGCCATGTGTCCAAAACGGAAACCATCCCCACACGTCACAATATTTTGAACTTAATAAAAAAAAATCAATTTGCAGTGAGTATTATAAAAATAAGTATATTACTCACAATGAGGGTGTTCTTGAATATTTTCAGCTGAAAATTCTCACGAAAAATGGTTTTAAAGTTGGTCAGGGCTGCCACTTAGGGAAAACATTTTTTTTATAGATGTGCGTGGCTTGTGAGGAAGGTCTGATGCTTATGGCGTGCAATGAGTTAAATACTGGTTATAATGGCATACAAAATAGCAAGTACTGAGGAATAAATTTAACAGGAGATATGCAAAACCTATATACTGAAAACCTCAAAACACTGCTGAGAGAAAGAAGACCCCAACAAACAGGAGACAGAGCCTGGTGCTCATGAATGGAAAAGCTCAACACTGTCAAGATGGCAATTCTTCCCACACTAACCTACAGAGTCAATGGACTCCCAACCAATATTCCCGCAGGCTTTTTCTATAAACTGACGAGAGAATTCTAAAATTCCATGTGAAAGTACAAAGGATCTAGAATAGCCAAACGCCTTGACAAGGCTGCCTGACTTTAAGGCTTACAGTGTTTGGGTAACCAGTCCAGTGTGGTACTGATGCCAAGATAAACAGACCAATGGAAGAAAAGAGCACAAAATAGACCCACACACGTGGGGCAACAGATTTTAGACTAAGGTGCAGGGGCAACTGAGTGGAGAAAGAATAGTCTTTTCAACAAATGCAGATTGTACACCGGATACCCATATGCCAAAAAGAAAACTTTTATTCCCTCACTCATGGAAATGCTAATTCAAAATGGATTATAGACCTAAATGTAAAACCTAAAACGACAAAACCAAAATTAAGAACAAGTCACAGACTGCAAAAAATGTTTTCAAATCTTATTTCTAATCAAAGACTTGGGTGCAAAATATATAAAGAACTCTCCAATTCAATTAGGGAATAAATAACCCAATAAAAAAAAAATGAGAAGAAAAAAATATGAGCAAAAGAGTTGAACAAATACTTCACCAAAGAAGATACAAATGGCAAACACATGAAAATATAGCCAACACTATTAGCCATTACAGAAATACAAATTAAAACCCCAATGTAATACCAGCTCACACCTATTAGCCAACATTAAAAGGACTGACCATGCCAGATGTTGGTGAGGATGTGAAAAATAAAGCAATAGCTTTGGAAAAGTTGGGCAGCTTCTTAAAAAGTTAACATACACCAACCATTTCATCCAGTCATTCCACTCCAGTATTTACTCAAGAAAAATAAAAGCGCTTGTCCACACAAAGACTTGTACCAAATGCTCACAGCAGCTTGACATGGAACAGCCAAAACTGGAAACAACGCATGTCTACCAGCAGGTGAATGCATAAACCAGCTGTGGTACATCCAGGCACTGCAACCCCTCTCAGCAACGGAAAGGAATTAACTACTGGTAGACACAACAGAGGATGACTCTCAAATAATTATGCCAAGAGAACTCAGACAAAAAGAGTACATGCTGGAGAAGGTTCTAGAAAACACATCTAACTTGTAGAGACAGAAAGTGGACCCACTGGCGGTTCCTTGAGGGTGAGGAGAGGACACAAGGGGACTTGGGGTGACGGGGATTTTCATGACCGTGGCTATGGTGACGGTTTCAGAGGTGTGTGCAGTATATGAGACATTCTCAAATGTGTATCTGAAATGTGTAGTTTACTGCATGTTGATTATACATCAATAAAGCTGTTTTTTATAAAAAATACCCAGTGAAGGGAAAAGATACATATTGTCAAGAAGCACCCAAATCCTGTTAATGCTTAAGACCCTCCTTGTCCTCCAGGTCAGCCGTTCACAGCCAGACCTGGGGAAAGATGGAGCAGGAGCAAATGCCACTTCAGATGCCCTGGACCCTAACATGAGGTCAGCAGGTGGGAGAAGGCCGTCTAGCCAATCCCCACGGCATCAGGAATCCTGCGCTCCGGAAAGAAGACGTGTACGGGCACCCCAAAGATGCCGCTGACATTCATACGGAAGAGCAAAGGCGCTGGTAAATAACTCCCATTTGTCTAGGAACATGACAGCAGCAAACACAATCACCCCCAAACAAATACTTCCTCACACATGTGCTCTACATGTCCTGTTCTGAACTGTACATTCAGCGTCTAACTTCTTCCAATAGTCAGCATGGAGAGAGCAGGAAAATGAACTGTTTCTATGGGATAAATATAAAATAACCTTTGAAAAAGGGCTGTTCTTAATAACCCACTGAATAACCAGTAACGGCGAGTGAGCTTTAAAGGTTTAAAGGCAGCAGCGCTGCGGGATCGCTTAGCAGGAGGAACAGGTACTCACCCCGTTCTCCTTCCTCCGATGGTCACCAGGAACTTTCACGCCATTTCTCCTCAAAGCTGGGTCCTGAGGCCGTGGTCCACTCACTAAGCACAAAATCCAAAACTAAGCATTAAATCAGGGTCGCAGATACTCCAAGTGCCAGTCCGTTTCTTAGCTCTGTGACCGCTGCCCTTTGATATTTTAAGTTGAAAGGAAACTTCAAACAAAATCTTTTCTAATAGCGACGGCCCTGAGGTCTCGAACTCAGCCTGTTTGGGGAAGCCGATCTCGGAACAGTGAACAGTGAACTTTACCAAACACCCCTTGCTAACTCTTCCCTAGGAAAGCTGCATGATTCAGAGACCGGAAGTGGGGGAAATGTAACAAAATAAATGTACTTCTCATTATGGGAAAATCACACCATTCGCTCAGAGTAGCTCCCCCTAGTTCTCCATTTAGCTCCTCGGAGTGAAATCAGAAACAGTTTCATGGAAAGAATTAAGTGAGCATTAAATCAATCCGTCCTGTGCTCACTGAGGCTGTTTTGTAACATACATGGGAAGGAAGCAATTGAAAATACAAGCGGTATTTTGAATATTTGGCTTATTTGAGGGCATTTTGTGGTAATTCTTAAGTACTATGAAGTACTTCCCATTTATTTAAGTAAAAATCTTGCATTTTCTTAGTTTGGGAAAGTACTAACTGGAAAACACTGTATTCTGTTTTGGCTAAAACAAATGTTTTAAGTTAAAATGTATGGGTCTCTCAGCATCACTTAATGCATTATAAGGGAATATAGTCTTTTTTTTTTTAAATATATTTTATTGATTTTTTACAGAGAGGAAGGGAGAGAGATAGAGAGTTAGAAACATCGATGAGAGAGAAACATCGATCAGCTGCCTCCTGCACATCTCCTACTGGGGATATGCCCGCAACCCAGGTACATGCCCTTGACCGGAATCGAACCTGGGACCTTTCAGTCCGCAAGCCGACGCTCTATCCACTGAGCCAAACCGGTTTCGGCAGGGAATATAGTCTTAATTTAAACAGATACATCGTAAGAAACAGATAATATCAACAAAGAGAATTTTTTAAATAAGTGAAATTAAGCTACTATTTATACTTCCAGAAATTAGAAAGGTTATTAAATTATCAAGAAATTTTTTGAATCAAATGTCTACTGAATCTGCCTAAAGCTTACCACAAATTCCCATGCCAGTAATACGATATCCTCAGACCCCGGGGTCACACCATCCCTAGCCCTAATGTGCTAGCTTTATTTATTTATTTACGTATTTATAACATATTTTTATTGATTTCATAGAGGAAGGAAGGGGGAGAGATAGAAACATCAATGATGAGAGAGAACCATTGATTGCCTGCCTCCGGCACGCCCCCCACTGGGGAACAAGCCTGCAAATTGGGCATGTGCCCTTGACTGGAATCGAACCTGGGACCCTTCAGTCTGCAGGCCCACACTCTATCCACTGAGCCAAATGGGCTAGGACTGTGTTAGCTTTATTTTTATAACACTGCTCAATTCTCTGAGAAAATAGCTCCAGGATCGGCCACACTATTTCTGCAAGAAAAATAAACCTCCCGTTTAGGAATGACTGCTGTCTTCGCTGCCTCACAGGCAGCCCCACCAGTCCCTTCCTGGCCATGCAGTTCCACAGTTAGAGTGCGAGGCGAGAGCTTTAAGAATAGTTCCGTCCATTGCGGGTCCCAGGTCCGGTGAGACTGGCAGAAGACCATGGTGACAGCCTCCCAATCCGTAACCTCGCCGTCCCCACTAAGGAGGACACGGACAAGCAGCCCTGCTCTACCCCAAGTCAGACACCGTGTGGCACTGGAGTCTGTGACAACGTGAAACAGCTCCCTCCCTTCCGATCCTACTCTCACGTTACAGACACACCGACACTGCACATCACACTATCGCAAGGCCGTTTAATAATTCAGCCAGGACGACACGGGCGGACATTTGAACTGGCAGGTGAGTGGGTAAAGTCCAACTCCTTTCTTACAAGAGGATGCGTGCAGCAACGTAAACAAAGAACAAAATAAAAACGAGATGCAGGTGCCAGTTTAAAGCTACAGAAGAACGCTTAGGGAGAAACTACGTGCTCATTTAAAATAGAGCCACGGGCACCAGTCACACTGCCAGGCATGCCAGCCGGCCTGGCAGAGGTGACGCGAGCCCCACTCCTGGCTCTGCCTCTGGGTGTGTGGCCTCTGACAAGTCACTGAACCCCAAAGGATCAGCCTTCTCCTCTGCAGAGTGGAAGAGGCCAGACAAGTCAATTTTGAGCTCCTCCTCGGTCTATCTACACTTGATAACTTCTCATTGTTGGGGACCACATGGGTATCTGCATTAAAGCGATAAAACCGAGACTGCATGACATCCAGTGACGAACATGTTACCTACATTCTTACTCCCAAGAATTATATACGGAAGTCACAAACCCTCAGCTTCCCATTGTGAAAACTCCAACAGTCTTAGAAAGACCTAGCGCTCCGCCCCACCGGGCCTTGCCATGGAGAAGAGCTGCCCACAGGCCTGCCTTGAGCTGCTCACCTTCCCACAGCCTCCAAGACCTGCCCGGAGGGCGTGAACGTGTCCAGCCTGCCATCTCTCCACCGTCATGACCGCCTCCTGCCCTCTCCTCACCGTCACCTACACACGCCGGTCACAGCCCGCATCACGAGGCGAGCACCTGACTCCCGTGTTCTCCCCGCGCGGGGCCTGCCTGCCTCCTGCATGACCGTCCCCTCCACAAGCCAGGCTCCCGGCCCTGGGCTTCCTCATCCCCACCCCAACCCAGGCTCCTTTCATGACCAACCTGGACCCTCGCCACCTAGAGGAGCTCCACCCCGGATGTCACCTCCCAGCGTTCTGCTTGTGACCACACGTTCCTCACTCACCCTGCACGACCTGAGACTTGTCACCTCTAAACCCTGGTCGCCCTTCCCCCTCAGCCCTTCCCATCCTCACTTCCTCCCCACCCCGCTGAGATGTCATCTTGCCAGTATCCTCTTCGCCCCTGTCCCTGACCGTCCACCGAATTGGTCTGGCATCGCCCCAGGCTGGGGTCAATCCAACCACCTTTTCCCTTATGACCCTCAGGCGGGAGAAGGTCACGGGTGGCCTCATGGCCTCCATGGAGCCCGTCAACCTGCTCCCCTGGGGCTCTCTCCTATTCTTCACGTCCATCCTCACCTTCAGAGGCCTCTGCCTTCTCCGCCTGAGAAAGCGTGTTCCGGTGACAAGTTCCCCGACTTGCTCACAGGCGCACACATTTACTCGCACTGCGCTGTTCCTTCTTGTCCTGTCACCATGGAAGAGGCTCCCTCCTCTGCCCATGAGACTCTCTCTGCCAGGGCTGAGGACGCCCCCTCAGCACCCCCTTTCACGTACTGCAACCGCCTCCCCTCCCGCATTGAAAACTACCATAAAGCACCTCCCGTCTGCACCCTGGCTGGTGTGGCTCAGTTGGGTGGACGCCATCCCATGCACCGAAAGGTTGCTAATTCCATTCCCGGTCAGGGCACATGCCCAGGTTCCAGGCTCGATCCCCAGTAGGGGGCCTGCAGGGGGCAGCCACTCAATGTTTCACTCTCGCATCGATGTTTCTCTCTCTCTCCCCCCTCCTCTCTCTCTGAAAATCAATACAAAAATCTTAAAAAACAAAAACTTCTCTTCTTCAAACCGAACAGAACAAGCAAGACCATCCCCGTGTCTCCTCCCCGACAGGCAGATCTTAGAAGCGTGGCCTCTCCCCACGGTTCGCACTCACCTCTCGCTCTCCCCTCAAACTGCCCGGTTCCACCCCAACGCATAAAAACACAGCCCGAACGCTGCGCCTGCTCACAGGATCTACCCACCGAAGTCCCTGCCGGGGGGGCGCTCGTGCCGCAGGAAGAAACGCACTTCGCTCCTCTGGCTTCCAAACCTCTGCAGGACGTCGAACATCCGCTCGTTATCTGCGACGGGGCGTTCTAGGAGAAAGACAAACATAGCATGTCATCCGTCCTTCATGCACAGTATACACTGGGGATGTAGGAAATACACGGCATCTTAGGTCATTTGTTTCCATTAAAGGCCCCTTAGAAAACGCAGTATCACGGAATTCCCACACACTCACACTCTCACACACACACACACACACACACACACACACACCATCAGTGTCGAGCCGAGTGAGACCTGGAAGGAGGCCTGGGCTGCGGGTTCGAGTCCCAGTCAGGGCACATGCCCAGTTTGTGGGTTCCATGCCAATCAGGATGCATGTGGAGGCAACTGATCGGTATTTCTCGATTGCCAGTATTGTTTTTAATAGAAGACGGTTGAAACAGCCTAAGAAAACTCAATGCACTTGTCAGTCACCAGAGGCAGTACCTAAGGAAACAGCACGGGCAGAGAACGCAGCATGTGCAGCCCATCTCTCGAGCTAACACTGAGCTTCATGGGCCTGGTTGCAATAAAGGTCTGTTCTGGTCCTATTCCCAGTGACAGAGCGTACTGAGCCGACACAGACGTCCCTCTTCTGCAAACCACAGAAATTCTAAGATCCCCCCCAGAAGGGAACACCATAGATGAGTAGAAACCCATCGAAAGAAAGTAAGTAGCCCTCCACCTCCTCACCACACACACACACACACACACACACACACGCACTATTCCAAAGGAAATAAAATCCCCCGATTCCAGAAGCGAAGAGAGAACTCAAAGGCAGTGAGGCAACTCCCATCCCTGCTGGGTTGGACCATCTTAAAGGCCATGAACCTTCCCGTAGGTGTGGGAGCCGAGGCCCTGCCGGCCTGTGGTAACGAGAGCAGGCCTGGGCCTGCACGTCCTGAAATGCACATCACAGGTTCTCAAGGCCCCTGCTCCCCCCCCCCCCAATCTCCTGGTCTCGGCCCTTGGCCTCCGTGACTATGAACGTGCCACTCTGCGCACAGATACGTCCCAGCCCCCTCTCCTCCTGCAGATGGAGCAGGTCCACCCATCACTGCGGTTACCACGCCGCGTTCTAAGCATCTGCTGAACCTGCTTCTGCGTGAAGGCAGGAAACTTATCTGTCTCCCTCCCAATCGGTCCCGAGCCCAACAGGAACCTAAGAAATGCTCTCTATACAACAACTGACAGGGCAGCAAGGAACTGGAGATGACAAATCAAAGCTGCTCATTTTAAAAAGATTGTCAGCCAAAGAAAAGAAGAAGCTTGAGAAGCTAACAAAATCAAAGTAATATATTTACTATTTGTTAAATAGGACACTTGGGACAATTTATAGCAAAAGGGAGGGGGAGTTTAAAACATCATAGCTATTGCTGAGAGCTAATACTAAGCGCACTGAGGACTATGCTAAGCCCCCAGCACGTATTATCTCCTGGAATCTCACTCAATCCTATGAGATAGGTTCAATTATCATCCCAATTCTGCAGATAAAACACAGAGATTAAGGACCTGGCCTTCAATCATAACGCTGGTAAATGACAGAGACAGAATCTCAATACCCACGACTTCGTTCTTAATCACACCTTACAAACAACCCTCAAATCAATTATGAGTTCACTGCAACCAATCCAAATCCCAACAGAATGCTTCACGGAGCCTTTCAAGGTAATTCTAAAATATATCTGAAAAAGGGACTATACAAGCATAGCCAGGTATCTTTTTAAAAAGCAGAAGAATGAAATAAGCACTTGCCTTACAGATACCCAACAAACTGGAAAACTATAGTAATTAAAACTGGTTCTGTCCCGCCCTGGCCAGAGTGGCTCAGGTGGTTGGGCATCGTCCTCTGCGCCGAAAGGTTGCCGGTTCAATTCCCAGTCAGGGCACATGCCCGGGTTGAGGGCTCCATTGCTGGGAGGGGGCGTGCAGGAGGCAGACAATCCATGTTTCACTCTCACATCAATGTTTCTCTCTCTCTCTCCATCTCCCTGCCTCTCTCTCTAAAAATCAATTTTAGAAAATCTTTATAAGACAAACAAAAGCTGGTTCTGTCCTAGGAGCAGGCTAAAGTGTACAGAAACATCCCTTCATAGGAGACACGACATAGGACAGGAAGTGATGTCGTAACAGTAGGGAAAAAACTGCTCAGTGAGGCACGTAAGAAGATTCGCTATCCATCTGGGGAAAAAGTTAAATCCCTAATTCACACTAGGCACAAAAATTCCTGAGGCGAGGGAGGGGTGGGGGAGAGGAAGGAAGGAAAAGATCTTAAAACTTCTGGCATGAAATAATAGAAGAATATGTTTACAGTCTTGGAGTAAGGAAAGAATTTTCCCATAAAGGGGATAACTTGGCCTGAGGTCTACAATAGAATATTTTTTCGGCTCGTCTTTGTTTTTAATGCCTACAAAGCAAGAGGGAAAAGACAAACGCCAAAGGAAACCTACGGAGAAACCAGTTTTTAAAAATGGAAACCCAAACGGCCAATAAATTTTCAAATGGGCAGTATCAGCTTAGCAAAGATTAATATATTATTCTATCAGCTGGTGATGAGGATGCTTTTAGAAAAAGCTGGTAGGACTGTGAACTTATGTAGCCTGTGTTGAGGGAAATCTGGCAATACGTTAAATTTTAAACGCGTGACCCCTCAACCAGGCAATCCCACCTCGTTATCTGCTCTACAGAAAAGATTGCACGTGACCCCAGGGGCTCCTAAAAGGGGTTTACTGCAGCATTTATGAAAAGAAGAGCAGGATTCATGTAAATGTTTACGAATAAAGAAATGGTTAAATCACCCGTAGTTTATGCATACTGGGAAAGATTATGTGATTATTAGAAATAATGCTGTAAACGTACACATCTTAAAATGCCTCCAAGCTCTGTTGGAAGGTAAAACAGCAAAGGGCAGGGTATTGATACACATGGTACTATTTACATAAAGCAAAAATAGAGAAAGGCATAACCCACTGAACTATTTCTATAGCTACGTACAAATGCAGAGAAGAAGTCGGAAAAGCAATCGGCTAAAGTCATAAGCAATTACACCAAGTGATCAGGGGATGGACTTGGGGAGACATCTCCATTCTATTGATATTACTTCCCCTCTTATAAAAAGAACATATTCAGATGCTACCCACCGTTTTTCATTTAAAACGTTAGAAAGAAAAGAATCCTTAATCATCATCACATAATATGGGTTAGTGACCTCAAGTGAGCAGAACTGGAGAGGAAAGGGAGGCAGCAGAATCCAGTGTGCAGGGAAGAGAATGAGCCTTGGCAAAGAGAACATTCTCCCCCATGAAAGTCAGGAGGAGGCAGGCACCCCTTCAGGCAGAACCTGAGGCGCGTGCAGAAGCGGAAACGGAGGGACTGGTGGGTGGTTCCGGTCACCTCGGGGAAGTTTAAGGCGGGTGAACGGGAGCTCATGTACTCTTTCAGTGAGCACTGACTGAGCACGAGCACCGACTACGTGCCAGGCACTCCTCGCGCTGCAGCAGCAATGAGCAGGGAAGCAGGTCTCTTCTCTCCGGGAGTCTACACGCTAGTGCATGTGTTTGGGGCGACAGGGATCAAAAAGGCAACACACACACACACACACACACACACACAGAGCGATGTGAGGATGCAGAGGATTAAACCAGGATGACATCATAGAGAACTTCCTGGCTAGCTTCGCAAGATACTCAGGCAAAGCCTCTCCGAGGAGGAACCTTTTAACTGAAACCCCAAGGACCGGAGGGAGCAGCACTGACAAATCCGGAGGGAAGCCAGCCAGGTCTGGGAACAGCTAGTGGCCTGGCTCTGAGGCGGGCAGAGCCGAGTGTGGTTCATTCGTGAATATAAAACAGCTGCAGGAGGGGCAAGGAGGGAACAGGACCAGATGACAACACAGACAGCAAGCCTCTAAGGTCCACAATCCGGGATCAAGCATTTGGACTTTATTCTAGTAGAAGAGAAAGCTCTAGGGGGTGTCAATACAAAAGTCCAACCATCAACTTTCCACCATCCTGCGGGCATAGAAGGCAACCAATTGTAAGCCAGGAAGAGAGCTCTCACCAGAAACCCAAGTCAGCTGGACCTCCCAGCCTCAGAAATGTGAGAAATAAATTCACGTTGTTTAAAAAAAAAAAAAAAAGTCCAACCATCAGATTCTCATTTAAAGGGATCACTTGCGTTTCTTTATGCAAACGGTCTAAGCTAGCTCTTAGGTGAAGGTTAAAAAAATAAGTGATTCATGGAGCGTGAAGACCTTCTAGAACACCCAAGGGTGGGAAAGGCAACACAGACAGGTACGAGGACGTGCAGGGGAACCGGGCGCTCAGCTGAAGTCGGGTTTCGTGGCTGGCGTGAACCCGTGAGCACAGTGTGTCACCGGCACCCCGGCGGAGAAAGGGGGAACAGCGGGAGCTCACCAGGCCGTGCAGGAACGAGCAGAACTCGGGAAAAATTCCTCCCCGGTCGACAAACTCCTATGGGGCCAAAAGAAACCAGGCCGCCCCACTTCCGAGCTGCCAAGAACTACCATATACTGAGGGATTGACTTCAAAGCTTCATGTAAGGCCTGTGATTTCCCCAGTGCCTCCTGCTACCACAGTAATCAACGCTGAGCAGCTTTCCCCAAAGCCTACGCAACCTTAGAGGCAAACAGTCAGGACGCCTCGCGTTTCTCATCAAGCAAAGCCTCAGCACACAAAACCCTGGGCCAGTGATGGCAAACCTCTGACACGCGTGTCAGAGGTGACACGCAAACTCATTTTTTTGGTTGAGTTTTCTTTGTTCAATGGCATTTAAATATATAAAATAAATATCAAAAATATAAGTCTTTGTTTTACTATGGTTGCAAAGATCAAAAAATTTCTCTATGTGACACGGCACCAGAGTTCAGTTAGGGTTTTTCAAAATGCTGACACACCGAGCTCAAAAGGTTCGCCGTCACTGCCCTAGGGGCACACCAGCCGCTCCCACTGGTGTGCCAGCTGCCTGCCCTGTGACCTTTCCTGCTGTGGTGCCGTCACCGTGTAGCAGAAGGAGAACAGAAGGGCTTCCTATGTCACAGCGAGGCTGGAGGGGACGCTGTCTCCTGGTGGACATGCTGTTCTAGACCAGGGGTGGGCAAACTTTGTGACTCGAGGGCCACAATGGGTTCTTAAACTGGACCGGAGGGCCGGAACAAAAGCATGGATGCAGTGTTTGTGTGAACTAATACAAATTCAAAGTAAACATCATTACATTAAAGGGTACGGTCTTTTTCTTTTTTAGTTTTATTCATTTCAAACGGGCCGGATCCGGCCCGTGGGCCGTAGTTTGCCCACGGCTGCTCTAGAGCATCCCCGCCACCCCCAGGAACGGGACGGTAAGAAACGCGGGACCAGGCTCAGGCTGCGCGCTCCCACCTGAGCCGCACCACACTTCGGCCAGGTGGCAGTCGCTCTCGCCGGGCTCCTTGCACAGGTCCACCACATCCCGGCATATCGTTTCTGGGGTCACGGGGACTTCGGTAAAGTGCTGCTCATTGTTGCTGAGGTACACGGTAAGAAACATCTGGAAACAAAAGAGAAAGCACGAGAGTTATCGGACTGCCCACACCGGCCGTGTTCGCTTTGTGTTCACCTTCGCTTCCCGTCCCCAAACAGGCCCAGGTGCAAATGTTCAACAGGACAGTCTGGCTCACCCTGGCCGGGAGTGAGGGGGGGGGGGTGGGTTCTGGAGCCCTGCCCACTGGGTTCCTGCCCCCTCCCGAGCAGAGCCTGCAGCAGCCTGGGGAGCCCTGGGGGACAGTCAAACCAGTTCACACAAAAGGTGAAATTAAACCATTCTCTGACATTTTACTTATGGGAATTGTCTACCCAATCCTTATACAGTTCTTAGCATGTGCCCGGCGCACACTACCCACCAATCTTCCCACCAATCCTGTAAAGGTGATGAGGGATATCACTCATGCACAGATACATAAGAACATAAGACGGCTGCATAAGAACATAGGATGTACTGCTTCTGAAGGCATGATGGAAACAGGACAGACCTTGGAGGGCAATCTAATGTTTACACCACGCACATACATTCCCTACTCAACAATTTAAACCTAAAATGTTTTAAGCAAGTTAAATATCTATTTCAAAGCATGTCCTCACCAACCAGGTGTAAGCAGAAATGACCAGCTGCAATGCTACAACGTGTCTGACCTTGCAAACATTCAGGCCAGCAGAGGATTTAAATTTAAAACTCATTAACAATCTTTTTCCCAGTAAAAATAGACATTGCATCTTAAAAAACGATGCTACTAAAGAATGCAAGTTTTCACACCTATTAAATAACCAAAAAGAAAAATAAAAAGAAAGAAAAATGCTGTTAATTCCCAGTGCTGCAGAAGCAAATTGTCGATGGCAATGCCAATCAGTAAACCCCTATGGTTCATTCAACTCAGTGGGCACCTACTGTGTGCATACAACTCAATGAGCACCTACTCAGCGCAAACCAGTATGCATCAGGAATAGAAAAACAAACCATTTGAAAGAGTAACCCCACTGTGACACTTCATCCTGTGAAAATAAGTCCCATCAAAGAGAGAGCATGCAAAGGCTCTGGGCCATGAGCCTGATGGGCCAGTACAGTACGTTATGCAAAAGTAATTAGTGAGACTCTACGAGATATTGGGAGTTTGGGTTTTAAGGCTGTAAAAAGCAGAATGAGTAACATCTGCACTGTGATCACGACACGAGACCATCATACAACAGCCACAGGACGCCCCTTCCAGCTCCAACTGCCCCGCCCATCACCCCAGAACTGAGAACGCTGCACTCGGCCCCTCGTTGTAAAGAAGGCAGCATCCCATTAGGGATGATGGTGGAAACTGGCTGAGACACCAGACTGGGTACCTCAAGGATTTGGCCAGAGTGGGAGGAGAAGACCAAGAGAAAGTGTGGGGGGGGGGGGGGGCGGGGGGGGGGGAGGAACTGGCTCATCCCTGGGAGCTTCCTGGCTCCTCCCTGCAGTAAAACCATCTTTTCTTAAGGGAATCCAAGTCTCCACTTCTTACAGCCAAAGCTCTTAATCCCCATAAACGTGTATAACATAGAAAGTAACCTAGAGCCCTAGCTGGTTTGGCTCAGTGGATAGAGCGTTGGCCTGTAGACTGAAGGGTCCTGGGTTCAATTCCGATCAAGTGCACATGCCCAGGTTGCAGGCTTGATCCCCGGTAGGGGGCATGCAGGAGGCAGCCAATCAATGATTCTCTCTCATCATTGATGTTTCTCTCTCTCTCTGACTCTCCCTTCCTCTCTGAAATCAATAAAAATTTATTTTAAAAAAAAGTAACCTAGAAAACATAGAAGGTAACCCATTACAACTAGAAGGTAATCCAGAAAAGTTAAAGGTGGATTCTGCTGAAACAATAAATAAAACGAAAGAAAAACAGCTACAGTTCCCATATGAGGTCAGAGCCCTCCCAGCTAATGACACCAGGTTTGCACATTCTGATACACGGTTCTCGGCCTCAACTTGGCAGCACTTTGAAACTGTTACACAAAAACTGCAAAGTATTAGATAAATAACAAAGATTAACTAAGCTCACAGAATTCCACCGGCTGCTGCTCTGGCAAATGTACAGCGTGTTTAATGACAGAGACAAACAACTTACACTTCGGTATGAAACAGGACTTCTCTCCTCTACAGTCCCCACCCACCCCAAAACTCTCTTTGAAGTTGAACTCTTCGAGAATAGCCACTGTTTTCACTGTAAATATGAGACTTGGGTGTTTATTTAATACAGAAATACTTAATACCCAGTCTGCCTACTAAACACACAGTCTCCACAAAGCAAAGGCTGTCATTACGTAACACTGGCCCCTTGCCTCGCCAATGCCACCTCAGAGGGCTCGCACACCAGGTCTCCGACAGGCAGCACGGGGATTCTTTTCTCTTTATACGTAAATTCTTTAAAAAGGACTCACAGAAGCGATCTACTTAGCTGCTAAGGAGAGGGCCGGGGTACAAGTCTGTTCTTCTGACCCATCCTCTACCCTTTATGCTATCCACGCAGCAGAAAAGTAACTAGGAAATGCTCTATTTAACCACAGCAACCCAAACCCGAACAGAGATCTGGTCTTTCACTGTCTGGAAACAACAGCTTTGTCTCTTTAAAAGCGTAATTACAAATAAGAATGATGAGAGGTGTGCTCTGTTTAAGATTCCTATTCCCCCCCAAAGCCCCCAGAATTAGTGCTGGCATGAATGGCAGGCACATGCGGTGACCCATCTCTACCTTGTCTGCACGAAGACTGGCTCCGGGGTGACTTTCTAACTGTGTGAGGCCCTAGGTGCTGGGCCAGCACCCTGACGTTGCTGCAGGTTCCCGGGCAGGAGACCTGGGGCCTAAGCCCGGATTTGTTAATAATTACTTAGCCAACCTTAGGGAAATAATGTCACCTCCCCGAATCTCAGCTCCTCGTCTTCAAAGTAAGAGTCTTTTAGTTCCCTAAGGGCTACCATTATTTTAGGTGTTTATTTGGTGTCAGAGTAAAAGCCAACATCTTTACACCAGCCTGCAAGTTGGACGTCAGCAATCCAGGCATGCAGTGAGGGCCTGCGTGAAGGCAGTGGGGGGACCTAGAAAAATGGCAGATTCAACAGAGAAGACAGGCGGTGGGGACTAGGTGAGGGTGGGGGTGAAGTCAGGGTGGGGGTGAAGTCAGGGTGGGGGTGAAGGGGTGTGCAGGAACTGAACAATCCAGTGACTAGTGAGAAAGTCAGTTCAGGAAGAAACCGGGTTGCTTTGTTGTGTGCCTGTGACAGCACTGGGGGGTGGGGCCAGAGTTTGTTTTGGATCTGCTGCCTGATCCTGCCACCAGCACCTGCCCCCATCCCCTCAGCCCTCATCGCTTAATCCCCTGCGTGCTCTCTGTTCCACCAGCGTCCCCCTTGCTGTTCCTCACAAGCCAGGCACATTCCCCGCTCAGAGCCTGAGCACTTCTGTTCCTCTGTTCGCAATGCTCTTCCCTGCAGGCCACTCAAACGCCGCCTTCTCCGTGAGCCTTCCCTGGCCACCTGCTAAAAGGCCACTTACTGCTTTATGTCTCTTCTTGGCACAGTCGCTGCTAACACACTGTATTTATTTAATTATTACATTTCTTTAACGTGTTTTTATGGCCTGTCTTCCCTATTAAAACAGCCCAGGGTTTTGTCTGTTCAGTGCTCTGCCCTCAGCCCCACGAATGTGCCTGGTATGTAACAAGGAAACGGTAAGTATTTGTTTATGATTAATAAATTCTTTAGCGGTGACTGCATTTCACAGATTTGCCTCTGATTGAGTTTCACAGTAAGTTCTCTTTCAGGCGTGGTAAATGCTGCAGCGTACAGCACAGCGAGACACTGGGGGAATCAGTGTGTCCCCTCCTCATTTCTCCAGCTTCTATCATGACTTTAACAAGTCATCCCACTGTTTCAACGTTCTTCATTCATTCACTACTTAGAGGCCATCATTTTATAATCTAAGTCCCAATAGAACTGATCCTGACTAAATAGCTAAGACAGCACACGGTACAAAATTCGAGAGATAGAGAGAGCTGTGTGGATGGGGACATGGCCGGCCCCCGGGGAGGGAGCGCGTCAATCAATGGCCAACCCGGCTTCCTCCCTCTTCAGTCCCCTACTGCTCTGCACTGGCCACTCCACAGCAGTCAGGTGGCCTGGGAGCAGTTTGTGGAAGTCGACCTTCGGGCACCAGGCAGGTGGGGAAGGTGGAGGGGGGTCTGGAGGGCAAGCGGGAGATGCGGTGACTCCCACACCCGCCTGGTCAGGGAGGGGCCCGAGCGTGAGCCTGGCTAACGTCCCGAGCAGAGAACCAGCCCAGCCGAGGGACAGGCCCGAGGAAGGATGGAGCTGGTCACGGCTGTGGAAGAGGAAGGTCACTGGAGGCAGCACAGGGAGGGGCTCCCGATTCCAAAGGCAGTGATCCAAAGAGGCCGATCACGCAGGACTTGGAAGGCCACGGGTCCTCAACGTCGGTGTGGACAGAGCTGCTCAACACAGATGCTGGGCCCAGCCCCAGAGTCTCTGATTCAGCAGATGGGGAGGGACTGCACGCCTGCATTGCTGTGTGTGTGTGTGTGTGTGTGTGTGTGTGTGTGTGTGTGTGTGTTGTGTTTTTCTATAGATTCTGCATTTCCAACAAGCTCCCCTGTGATGCGGACACTGCTGGTCCACAGACCACAAGCTGAGAACCGGTGTTCTAAGGCCCCAGCAAAAATCTGGATTCTAATCTAAGAGGCCATGGGGAGCAAAGCACTAAGAGGCACAGAGTAGATGAGTGGTTGCCAGGGGCTGGAGGGACTTCCTTTTGGGGTGATGGAATGTTCTGGAGTTAGTGATGACAGTTAACGACCTTCTGAGGGCACTGAAGCCACTGCATTGCACACTTCACAACAGGGGTGGGGAACGCCGGCCCTCGGGCTGGACTGAATAGGCCCGGGAAATCCTTTGGTCTGGCCCTGCCAAGGCAGTAGGGGTGAGCTAATGAAATGTTTCACCCAATACAGCAGGCTCACTTTCAAATTGATAATTCTGTATGGCCCACGAATGATGTTATAAATATCCAATGGCCCTGGCAGGAAAAGGTCCTGCCCACCCACCCCCCAACCTACTACCCCCGCCTTACAGGGTGAATTCTGTGGTATATGAATTGCATCGTAATTTAAAAGGCCTCCTACATGCTTACTTACTATGTGAGAGAGAAAAATCTCTTAAGGAAGATAAATTTACCCATGGGAAATCAGAGGACAACTTAGTACTAATCTGCATGAACGAGACGTGCAGGTAGGATGGAAATTCAGAAATGGGGAAAAATAAATGTGATCTGAGAGACTGAAGTGTCAGCCAAGAGGTGTAAGCGAATGGAAAACATACAAACGAACCTACAGTAACCTTACTTCCCAAATGCCATGTTCCTGACACTTGCTAGTTTCTAATACACCGTAAAGCACCACATCCCCCGGACACAGACATGGCTCATGTGCTTCTTTCCCATGCGGGGCAGCAGAATGGGTCCCTCCAGTTAACCCCCCTGGGGAACGGCTGTGAGAAACGCGATTCTTCTCTCTGACTCCAGCGACAGCGTTCGTGCCTGGGAACTTCTGGGCTCAGTTCTCGCCATCATAGACTGCAGCGACAATCAGGTCAAACCAACGTCCAGCCTGCACGGAGGTCCTGAGCCTCTCGCTGGGCACGGGGAGGAAACGGCCGGGTGGCTGCAAACGCTCACAGCGCCCAGGGCTGAGTCAGGGCTGTCCTTCCCTGGCAGGATCAGCCCTTCGCAGCGACATTAAAACGCCAACTTCCTTCCGACTTGTCAGTCAGGAACTTCAACTTTTTATAGTACGAACTGCAGAGAAAGAGATCCATCAATCACTACATAATAAACTAACTGGAACGTAGCCCTGGGCTGGTAGCTCAGGTGGTTAGAGCATCGGCCCAATGTGCCCAGGCTGTGGGCTGGGCGGTCAGGGCACACACAAGAATCATCCACTGAATGCTTAAATAAATGGAACAACAAATCTACTCCTCTCTCTCTTTCTCTCTCCCCTACCTCCCCTTCCTCTCTCTAAAATCAACTTAAAGATATTTTTTTTTTTAAAAAAGAACAGAGAATATAACAGGCAGATCATATAAGATAATATAAATGATAAAACCTGAGGGGGAAATAAATGTAAACTAAAATGAGATACCACGCACAACTATTAAATTAGTTTTCAATTCAAAGATAAGCTCCAACAGAGATGGGGCTGTAAAAAGGTGATTCACGCCTGGCCAGAGCGGCTCAGTCGGTGAGCACAGTCCTGTGCACCGAAAGGTTGCTGGTCTGGCTCCCAGTCAGGGCACACACTGAGCTGCAGGTTTAAGCCATGAAGGCAACCAATCCATGTTTCTCTCTCTCTCTCTCTCTCTCTCTCTCTCTCTCTCTCTCTCTCTCTCTCCTCTCTCTCTCTCTCTCCCTCCCTCTCTCCCCACCTCTCTGTCTTCCTCCTCCCATCCCATAATTGTTCCTCTCTCCAAGCATGTCCAAGGGTGAGGGTTAGAGAGAGAGAGAGAGAGAGAGAGAGAGAGAGAGAGAGAGAGAGAGAGGATTTCATCAGCCCAGGCAAGAGCAGGGTAAAGCGGAAGAGGAGCCTGGACTAGAGAGGAGGGACCGTGACTCAGGGATGGAAGTTATGGGAGGAAATGGAAGAATGGAAGGGAGTGGGCTACAGCACCCTGGGACCAGTCTCCCTCTCCCTGACTTGGTCTTATTCCCACGCCTGGGTCGGCATCACTGCTTCTTCGCTCGCCCCTGGCATCCTGAGTGTTCAAACAAGTGGAGACTGTGTTGATTGAGTTCATGGCCAGCCCACGCCACCCGCTGGGCCCGGGGTGGGGTGAGGTAACTCGGATTCGTTTGGGGTGGTTTTCTGCAGACTTTCCTGCAGCGGGTGCTCTCTCCCCGCTTCCCACCTTTCCCAGGCCTTCCATTCGGGCACCTCCACAGCCACTCTCCACTTTTACAGCTTAAAGCTCTCCCCGTGGCTGCCACCTCCCTTCCCAGGCCACCTGAGCTCTCCGCCCACCTGGAAGCTGCCCTGCGGCCCCTCTCCACTCAGCTCCTGCCCTGCCCCCGGCCACCAGCCTCCCCGGCCCCTGGGCGTCCTCCAGGCCCAGGCACCAGGGCCTAGGAGTTCTTCCCACTCACAAACCCGCACAGGACCAGCTCCTTCGGGTCAGCAGGTCTGAGCTGAGCTGTCCACCTGCTTCCCTGGCCACCTCAGTCCCATTATCCTACTTACACCCCACTCTCGTGTTTTCTTGTTTTATTTTCCATCTCTCCACCCCCTCCCACACTCCACCCCCACTAAGCTCCATGAAAAGAAGGTCCCTGAAATCTGCCTTCTTCTTTCCTGTATCCATGGCACTTGGAACGTAGAGAATGCTTATAAGTACTTGTTGAACAGATGTTGTCCCCAAAAGGCCATCTGTAAACGAGGCTGATGAGGAAGAGTGAAGAGCATGACTCGTGATTTCATTCAGCATCAGCGCCTAGCCCAGCGGTTCTCAACCTGTGGGTCCCGACCCCTTTGGCGGTCGAACGACCCTTTCACAGGGGTCGCCTCAGACCATCCTGCATATCAGATATTTCCATGACGATTCATAGCAGTAGCAACATGACAGTGATGAAGTAGCAACGAAAATGTTATGGTTGGGTCACAACGTGAGGAGCTGTATTTAAAGGGCCAGAAGGTTGAGAACCACTGTCCTAGCTTATGTCCAACAGATTCACCTCATTCATTAGATGGAATCATTACTCCCCACTACACAGAAGCAGCGCGTGGAGACCGTGTCCCTGGGCCCCCATCTGAGGTCCCACCAGCAGGGGGCATCCCTTCGGCCACGGCTGCACCATATGAGCCCCTGCAAAGGGCTGAGGAGTGACGGTGGCAGCTCACATGTCAGTTTTATGATTCCCCCCCTCCACACCTCCCAGCATTAGTCCAGTTCGGATTCTTTCTTCCCTACATCATCACCTTCAAGCCCTGTTAAAAGACAGAAAGATTGGCCAACACCCACATACCGAAGGTAATTACTACCCCTCTTCCCTCTCCCTGCAGAGGCGGGAGAGCTGAGGTCCCCACGGAGTACAGGAGGTAGAGAAAAGTCAGAGATGCCTCCACTGCCAGGGTGAGAGCATCTCCTCCACATCACAGTGATGAGAGAGCCATTTAGCAATCTTCTCCTCCAGTTTGGGTTTTAAGGACGGAAAGATGTCCCTGTTTTCCTTTTACTGCTTCAAGAATAATTAGAGTTATGCTCAAGGAAGCAATATTTGAAGTTATCATTAGCCAAGCGCTTGATGGCATCAGCCCATCATCGTCACGTCTGCCCGGCCAAGTATGTCAGAGGGTTCTAATCTCGTCTAATCTCGGCATCACCATCTCACAAGCGTGTCTGGAGGAGGACCTGGATCCATATCTCATTGCTGCTGAGGGACCAGGAGCAAATTACCGAAATCCTTCCGGCTTCCAATTCCTAATCTGTGGGATGAGGATGAGAAGACTCGCATCACAGGGTCATTTTCTGGGTGACCAACCTACATCACTGGGCACAGTGCCAGGCACAGGGAGGTCCTCAGAAGCTTCCTCGCCTCCCCTGGGCGGGAAACGAGCGCCCAGGGCACTGGTTTGCAGGGAGAGGGGTCATTCCGCGGTGGAAGGTCAGCCTCCCCCCCCCCCCCCCACCGGCCGCTTCTCATCACCACCATTTGTAGTGGAAACTGGGATTCTGTAAACACTTACTCCCTGAGGCTCTCTGCGATCTTTCTAAACATGTGTCGTAGGGATTTTTAGTTGAAAGGTTTGAAATCTAAATGAAGTAATACTTACTATAAATTTGTTTCTAGAAAAACAACTGAAGTCTGCATTCCACGTGAAAGTTCAGTATTTACTGGCCAAATGAACATTTTCAATGCAAATCTGACTGTTATCATCCAAATAAATAACTTGGCTTGGGATAAAGTGTATGCAGAAAAAATAAAACTAAAAGTGACCACAGCTGCCAGTTAGTGAAGTTTCTTTTATGTTTAGAATTTGCATCTTTGATAATTTTCTTCTGATAAGACAGTATGCGAAGTGTTTTAAGAACCACTATCTCCTTAAAACTCAGTGCTCCTGAAGGATCTGCTAATGACTAAAGTTTCTTGGCTCTCCCCAATGAGATGTAAATTTTTTTAAAGATTTTTTAAAAAAACAGATTTTTAGAGAGAGGAAGGAAGAGGGAGAGAGGGAGAGAGAGAGAGAAACATCTATCACTGCTGAGGCCTATTATGACTTTGGAGCTGATGCTCCCACTTAGATGTTACTCCTGAGACCATGAAACTGTGTTTTAAACCGTAACCAATTACCCTGGGTTCCATCTACCAATGTTCTATTAAGAGCCGATGACATTTTTTAAAATTGATTTTTAGAGAAAGGGAGAGCGAGGGAGAAATATCTATGTGAGAGCAAAACACTGATCAGCTGCCTCCTGCGTGCCCCTACTGGGGATTGAGCCCATAACCTGGGCATGTGCCCTGACTGGGAATCGAACCAGCAACCTTTCGGTGCACAGGACAATGCCCAACCAACTGAGCCACACCTGCCAGGGCATGAGATGTAAAAATTCAATGTCTCACCTACCACTCCAGCATAAGTACACATTTCACACCCAGTCTGTCATCTGTGCTTTCTTTTCTCAATTACTTTGATTACAGAAGAATGTTCTGTTGAGTACCACCACACCATCCAAAAAAACAAGTATTTCAGTAACGTTTGACTTGATGAGGGGGCATGACCTGAAAGAACACTCCAGGTTCCTTAGCTCTTGCATCCCAACCTTCTTATTCTTAGTAGAGAAGGTTGGTGAGAGGTTTTATAATACATACGGCAAATCATACCCACGTTACCCTATTTGAACTGAAGGGCTCAGTGTCCAATGAACTTTGGTTCTCAACCTTCCTAATGCCACGACCCTTTAATAGTTCCTCATGTTGTGGTGACCCCCAACCATAAAATTATTTTCGTTGCTACTACATAACTGTAATTTTGCTACTGTTATGAATCATAATGTAAATATCTGATATGCTATATGTGTTTTCCGATGGTCGTGACCCACAGGTTGAGAACCGCTGCTTTAGAAAGACGTTTTAGGGAGGGCCACCCACTATAGTATATTACCGGAGGTAAAGGTCTACAGTATTCCTTAAAAGCTCCAGAAAGGAGAGGTTTCGTTTTATTGTTTTTACTGTCTGCTGTTGGGGGACGGGGGGGACATGAAGAGGGAGAGAAGCAGATCCTCCTAGAAGCAGTGTCTGAATAAAGGACACTCCATATCATTCTAGATTATTTTTTTAAATATAAGCAGCTGTACACTTGTGCAGTCTAATTTTGGTTTTTTTTTTTCTGAAACAGGTAAAGCTACAGAAAAATTTAAATACTTTTCGGCTTTTAATTAATACAGCAGAAGTTCCAAGGCAACAAATTTCACAGCACATGAAATGTGAGATACTTTGCACGTGTTTTTTTAAAAAACGTGATTTATTTAGCAGCCTTTAGGAATTACAATTCTATACAGAACCTACCTTAAACTTGATTCTGGAATAAAACCTAAGCTAACTTGCTATATTACTACTCAACCACAAAAAGGAATTCTTTTAGCATATGGTATAGTCATACAAATACAATTATTGCAAAGCTAGGACTTGAAAGCTTTTTTCAAAATATATTTTTATTGATTTCAGAGAGGAAGAGAGAGGGAGAAACAGAAACATCAATGCTGAGAGAGAATCATCGATCGCCTGCCTCCTGCACGCCTCCTACCGGGGATCGAGCCTGCAACCCAGGCATGTGCCCTGACTGGGAATCAAACTGTGACCTCCTGGTTCATAGGTCGATGCTCAACCACTGAGCCACACCGGAAGGGCTCATCGTTTCTATCTCTCTCTCCCTCTCCGTTCCTCTCTGAAATCAATAAAAATATAGTTACTAGTAATTTTTTAAAAAGCTGAGAGATGAGAAATATATTTAAGAAAAGTCTTATTTGCAAGTACCCAAAATATTACAGGATAAAGACACATATACCACGAGGCTACTAAATGAAAATCTGTTTCATATGTTTATGTATTGCAAGGATAAGAATCTCAGTTTAAGTGGGCAGGTGTGGGCTAGAAGGGGTCAATGGGAGGGGAAAGGGGGCATATCTGTAATAATTTCAACAATAAAAATAAATCTTAAAAAAAAAAAAAAAAGAATCTCGGTTGAACCAATATTGTAAATTCAGGAGAAGCTCTTACCTAGCATCTATTCAAAGCAAGGCACTGAACTAATTGCCTCATAAACAGTAGTAATTCTAATCCTCACAACCACCCTAAGGGCGCAGTACTATAATTACCCCCATTTTACAGATGATGAAACTGAGGGATGATGGACTGAAAAAGAAAAAAAGCCTATGGCCACAGAGGTAGTGGCTGAGCGAATACTAAGGGGTAGTCTGGCTTCAAAGGTGGTACCCAGCCACCACACCACTGCAGTCCCTCTGCTAAAACGCTCCTCTGGCATCAGAAAGGCGACTAGAGGAACCATACTGCTCAATTAAATATCGTTTCAAGAGCTATATAACTTTTTACAAATCCTGACGACCTGGTACGCAGTTGGGAGGAGGAAACAGAAGTGTTAAGAAAGCCCAAAGGATGCCTGGACATAAAACCGATCTTCAAGGAGGAAATCACACAGCAACAACCAACACTTGTCTTGGTCCTATTTTTAGGAAAAAACTCACAGCCAGCCAGCCAGCCAGGCAGAGCTATTTCGAGACAAAGAAAGTAAATCCCAGGAATAAAAATTTTAACCGCAAAAATCCTTCCCCCTTATTCATGGTCTTCTATTGATTGGGCATTAGCATCACAAACTGACTTTAGACCCAGGTAAGACACTAAAATAGGACGCACATTCATGAAACCCACCTATGTCCCTCCTTTGATTGCAAATGTAATAAATACAAATGTAACCCCCTCCATTCTCCGGAGCATTATCTCAATTCGTTGAGGTTCTGCTTCCCGGCATATGTCGACAGTTTGGCTCAAATAAACTCACAAAAATTCCAAAATAAATAAATAAATAAATAATAAAATAAAACAGGACGCACATTGCTATTAACAACTTTCAAATTCCTAGACTCCTGGGAGGACAAAATATCCGGAACTATCAAAACTCAAATGATCAATTCTAATAAATTCAGTTTGTCCCCAACAGGAAAGGTTAGGACACCCGCCCATGACACAAGCAGAGGGGGAGCCGGGGACAGAATAATTAATAACTATACTCTGCATCTGTGGCTGCACATAAACAGAATGGGTCGTCACTCGGACCCATGGCCTGCCTCAAAGCTGTTTCTCTGCACAAATGAAGGCATGAGAAAACATGGGGAGCGGCGCAAGGACAACTTCCACGGGGAAACACACAGCTACTTGCCGTGCAGCCTGCAGAAGCCACTGCCACCTTCCAGGTCGCACCTTCCAGGCTGCGCGACCTTTGCAGGAAGCAGGCATTTTTCAAAAAATGCCTTCGAACCTGCCGCCCACCTGCGGCCTGGGACGCACCGATCCTCTCGGGAGCGAGCGGGCACAGGCATTTCCCTGCGATCGAAAAACTTTTTGCATTGACTGCAACCCGTTTTCCAGAAACAGACTGAGCCAGGCGGGGCTGCTACTGCAGATACCAAGACGGAAATTCAGTTCCCAGGCAAGCCAGCCGGCGCACTCTTTTCGGGATGCATATTGCACGCCAACGAAAAGTTTTTTTGTTTTTTTTTAAGACAAAGCAGGAAGATGCCCGGCTTCCCTGTTCTCCACCTTCGAGAACTGCACAACGTCAGGACCGAGGCGGAGAGAAAAAGAAAGTTTGAGCGGCTACTGGGACCCTCCTCCCGGCCACGGGCTCCCGCGCGCGGGCCGGGGATCGTGGGAACCCGGAGCCTGGAGCCGCCGCGGCCGCTCCCCCCGGGTTCGCAACACCCCGGCCCCGCCACGCGGGCTCAGGCCCCGGGATCGGCTCGGGACCCTACGGAGGGCGCGCACCGGACCCCCCACCCGCCACCGCGCACACACTTCCGGGCCTGGCGCCCCGGCCCCAGCCCGCCTGCCCGCTTACCGGCATCATGTTGGACCCGAACCGCATCGAAGCGGGTGGCCGACGGCGGCCCGGAGCCCAGCGGAGGCGCCCGGGGGTCGCGGGGCGGGGGAGGGGAGCACGGAGCGAGGCCGCCCCGGAGGCGGCGGACCTGTTGCGAGGCGGCGGCGGCGGTGCTGGTGGTGGCGGGACGGCGCGGGGTCCGCACAGCCCTCCCGCGGCCGGGGCGCCTCGGAGCCCGGGCCCAACCCCAACCCCGCGGGGCTCCGGACGCGGCTTTGTCTCCTCCGCGCTCGCGGCCGCGGGGCTGCCTCCTCCGCTCCGAACCCAACTCAGCCCGGCCTGGCCCCCGCCGAGCCCGCGCCGGCCCCGCCCCCGCCCCCGCGCGCGGCCCCGCCTCCGGCGCGCACGCGGGTCTGGGGGGAGGCGAGGGCGCGCGGGGCCCGGAGCGCGTGCGCATGCGCGGGGCGGAGCGGGCGGCGCACGCGCGCTCGGGGGGAGGCGCCCTTTCCTTTCTTTGCGGCGCGGGACGTGCGTCGGGGGCGCGCGGCGGAGCGCCGAGAGCGCGCACCTCCCGGCGGAGCAGAGCCGGGGTTTGGGGGGCGGCGCCCCGGGAAGAGGGGCAGGTTAGAAAGACCCCCGAGGAGCAGAGGGCCGCACCTCCCTGGCACCTCCCAACAGTGCGGGGGGCTGGGGGGAAGACCCTTGGCCTTGGGGATCCCCGGGCCCAGCCTCAGCGCCTGGGCCCCTCGCGGGCGCGGGCCCCCTGGACGGCCGGCTTCCGGGAGGCCGCGAGGACCGCCCCGTCCAGCAAGATGGAGATCGGCGGTGGAGGCTCGGCCGGCAGCACGTGCCGGGAGGTCCTGCGGGAGGGGGTGGGGGGGAGCTCTCCGCCTTTTATCTCCCTGGCCGCGGCCCAAATTCAAACTCCCGTGTGACTTTGTGTCATTTGCAAAAAGTACGCTTAAGAAAATGACTCGAATGGAATGTGTATACTTAACCACAATAAAAATGAATAAATAAAGGTTAAAAACGTGCAAAGCAGCATTCCGAGGAGCTTTTCTGCTGCTCGGGAATGCCTTGGGTTTGTACCATCCTCCTCCGAGGGGAGCGGGGCTCGGGAACGGCAGTGGCTCAGCCCGGAGAAGTAGCCGAGCTGGTTCTGGCACCGCCGCCTCCCAGAGAGACGCCAGGAACCGAACCCCCGAGCGGGCTAACCCTTTCCTTCTGCTAACCCTCTGCAGGCTCGCTCACCGTCACTTCCTCAGAGTCTAGATCAGCGGTTCTCAACCTGTGGGTCGCGACCCCTTTGGGGGTCGAACGACCCTTTCACAGGGGTCGCCTAAGACCATCGGAAAACACATATATAATTACATACTGTTTTTGTGATTCATCACTATTCTTTCATTACGTTCAATTTGTCGCAATGAAAATACATCCTGCATATCAGATATTTACATGACGATTCATAACAGTAGCAAAATGACAGTTATGAAGTAGCAACGAAAATAATTTTATGGTTGGGGGTCACCACAACATGAGGAACTGTATTAAAGGGTCGCGGCATTAGGAAGGTTGAGAACCACTGGTCTAGAAGGTGGAGGGAATCCCCTGGATTTATCTAGCTTCAAGGGTGGACCATTCTTTCCGAGTCTTAACAGACCCCAAACCAGAATCTCCATCCAAATCCAGACCTCACCGTCCAGCTACGTATCTGGAAATACTCAGCTATGGCTAATTCATTTAGAATGCAAAGTTCTCCAAAACTCTAAAGTCTTGTTATTTTAAGAGAATTGTCCCATAAATATTCATCAAATACCTACCCTCTGTTGGGTATTCTGCGTGCTGGAGATTCATTCATGAGCCAAACAAAAACTTGGGTGGACAATAAAACCAATAGCTAAGTGTATGAATAATGACATAAATTACCAAGTAGCGTTATAAGGAGGGAAGCAAGTGGCTGGGAAGAGGAGATCTTGTTAAACTGGAGAATCTTAATAAAAATAAAAGAATCTCTCATCCTGAAACTTGGCACATTTGTGGGAAGCAAGAACCCCCACCCCCCCCCCTTTATTTTTTTATTTTTTATTTTTTGGCAACCTGCAGCTCATAAAGGGACTGTTTAGCACCAAAAAAACCAGCTTCATATTCCGCTGGTTTTCATTATTTTTTGTGCATACAAGGAGATCTCAGCAACCTAAGTTATCATCCACATTCATCCGGAAAAAGAATCCTAGATATCGTTCACGATGCCTCTAGTTCTCAACAATGAAAATCGTATCTCTATTGCCTGAACCCCGAAATAGTCGCACACGATAGTAAATCATATCCACTATGAGTGTTGGCGGCCCTGGCTGATGAACAAAACAATTCCGACAGAAATAGAAGCAAGGAGAGGGGAATTGGGATAAGGTGGCCCCATTCAATTTTTTTTTTCCCCATTCTATTTTTTTTTACTGCTTGTCTCACAGGTGACCTGCCCAAGGAGGGGGAAGAAGGGACAGCAGTTGGCACTCTGTCCCGAAACTCACTTCCAGCCAATTGAGAATTCCCTCCTGCCAAATAGCAGGTATGTTTATGTTGAGGGTTTTGTTTTCTCTCTCTCTCTCTCTCTCTCTCTCTCTCTCTCTCTCTCTCTCTCTCTTTAAATCATAGAAGCAGGAAACAAACAACAACAAAAAAACCCCTAAACTTTGGTCTCATTCCTTACATTCTGTGCCATTCACAAAAGGCTCTCCCAGGCCCCACCTGCTTCGTCTGTCTGTCTCAAGCCTCCTCTATAATTCTGTCATCAACCCCAAGAAAGAGAAGCCAAATTACCACCAGCTGGGCGGGGAGCCCTCTTCTCTTTGGACCTCGCCTCACCCCCAGGCACATATGTTGGGCTTGAGTCGAGGTGTTTTGAGTTCCCAACTTTCTCCCCATCTCCCCTTTCAGAAGGTCAGCTCCCACCTTCCTTAGCCAGTAAAGGAGAGGATGGGGGGCCTTCACTCCTGCAGTTCATTCCTCCCACCCCCAACCCACTGACTTTTTAACTAATACCCTTGTGTGTCCGTGTTTTGCCAGGCACTGTTCTAGACTCTCGAGAGAGCACAGCTGTTGTTCCACTTATTTATGCATTCATTGCTTGCTTCTGGTCTGTGCCCAGTCTTAGTGGAACACAGTCTTACTGTGTACCTATTGGCTGTGGCTGCTTTCACACCATAGCAGCAGAGTGGAGTGGCTGGAGTAGAGAGGACTGTATGGCCTGCAAAGCCTAAAAGACTTACTGTCTGGCCCTTTATTTATTTATTTTTTTAAAAATATATTTTATTGATTTTTTTACAGAGAGGAAGGGAGAGGGATAGAGAGTTAGAAACATCAATCAGAGAGAAACATCAATCAGCTGCCTTCTGCACACTACCTACTGGGTATGTGCCCACAACCAAGGTACATGCCCTTGATCAGAATCGAACCTGGGACCCTTGAGTCCGCAGGCCGATGCTCTATCCACTGAGCCAAACCAGTTAGGGCTGTCTGGCCCTTTAAAGAGGAAGTTTGCTGGCCCCTGCTCTACCCAGCAGCAAGCATGATCTTAGCAGAAATAGAATCAAGCCTGGCTTAGGACTCTTAAGTCCAAATGGATGGGCGTATGGATGGGGCAGGATTGAAAGGCTGAAGCATTTTGGGGCCAGACGATGAGTAGTGCATGGTGGTTTATTATACTTCCCTGTCTTCCTGTGTTTGCTCTTAATTCTAGGTACTAAAATGTTTTTTAGAAAATAAAAAAGAGCTGAGACCGGTTTGGCTCAGTGGATAGAGCATCGGCCTGTGGACTGAAAGGTCCCAGGTTCGATTCCGGTCAAGGGCATGTACCTGGGTTGCGGGCACATCCCCAGTAGGGAGATGTGCAGGAGGCGGCTGATCGATGTTTCTCTCCCATCGATGTTTCTAACTCTTTATCTCTCTCTCCCTTCCTCTCTGTAAAAAATCAATAAAATATATTTTTTAAAAAAAAGAAAAGAAAAGAAAAAAGAAATGCTTTCCATGTCTTTCTATTTCCGTTAGGACACACACCATGCTGTTAACATGGCCTCCAAGCCCCCTCCTGGTCTAGCTCACACTGGCTCTCCAAGAGAGTTAGGGTAGGAAGGAGGAGCAGTAGATATGTGTACCTCCCCATATTCATGCCAAAAGACCCAGCATTGGAGAAACCCAGTGTTTGAAGACATCTATCTGGGCTCTTGATGGCACCTTGATTTGGTTTAAGCCGTTCCCTGCTTTATTGAAACCAGGAGCTAATGAGTTCTTATCTTCCTGTCAGTCCTCTCCCCATTACCTCACCTCCCTCTTACTCATCCTTTCGGCTCCATCCCTTCCCCCCCTTGCAGTCCCGCCCCCGTGTGAAACAGCCCTTGCTGAAGTCACCAGTGACCTTTCTTTCGCTGATGCAGTCACCATGTTCGTTCAACCCTTGTCTTCTTTGACCTCCTGCAGCGCTTCGCTGTTGTTCATTTCCTCCTTCCCAAGATACTCTTCTCCCTTGACATTTGGGATGACGCTCTCATGGTTCTCCTACCTCCGTGTCTGTGGAAGGACGCTCTTCCTCGCCGGCCTGTACGTGTTCAAACTCCTCAAGGCTCAATCCCCCCTCTTCCCAGACAGCCTTATCCACAGTCTTAAATGTCATCTACACAGGGGTCAAGTTTTAATAGTTCCAACCCAGACGGCCTCCCTGGGCTCTGGCACTGCACCATCCCGTCCAGCCACGTATAACTACTGAGCGTTTGAAACGTGCCTCGTGCCACTGAGAAACTGAGCGTTTCATTTCAATCCATTGACATGTAACTGGCCGCATGTGGGTAGAGGCTTAAAGATTAGACCGTGTAGATATAGACTGTTTCCATCATCACAGAAAGTCCTGTTGAACAGCTAGACATCCAAGTATGGCCGACTCAACTTCTCTAAAACCAAGTCCATAGCCCTTCTCCCAGTCCTGGCCCTCTTCCAGCATTTCCTGTCTCAGTGACTGGCACAAGGGTTCATTCCTTTTCTCAAGCCAGAAATCTAGGAATCGTGCTTGGCTTTATTTCTCCTTCGTCTCCAGCATCTAGTCAAGCTCTGTCCTTTCTGTCTTAAATATTTTTTTCAAACTCCTTTGCCGTCTCTCACCACAACGACCTTGTTCAAGCTACCACGGTCTCTCACATGTCTGATCTAGATTAGACACCCTTGCTTAAAGTTCCCCCTTAACATTGCCTCCAAGCCCTTGACTATCCTCCAGTCTCCCCAGCTACCACAGTCCCCTCCTGAGACAACCATACCATCGTTTTTCTGTCCCTTTTGCTTTTAAAAATATATATATATGTATATATATACA